ACTTTTATTAATTAAAGAAAAAATTTACATACTATATTGTAATTGTATCGTAATTTTAAATATTATTTTAATTATAAAATTTTACCTTAACATGTCTAAAAAATTAGATTAAGACAAATCCTGGACCTGACCTCACCTATAACCAAAAAGAAACTTCTTTTAATTAATACTAAAAAACGTTTCATGCTACAACTTGAACTGAACATATGGGCAAATTGTGTTTCATCAAACTAAAGAATTAGTATCCAAATTGAGCATCGAAAATTTGGGTATCTTTATTAGTTATACAAGTTGAGGTTGGAGTTTACTATTGGCAAAATAAATGCTTTAATATGCTAAATTCCAAAATACAAGTTGCAAGGGAACTCAAGTATGCATATTAAGGTTTAATAAAATAAGAATTCGAGAGGTTACAATCATATATGCAAGTGGCTTTTGAAAAATGCATTTTAAAAAGTAATATTTTCTCTATTAGATAGTAATAAAGTAACATCAAGTCACAGTCTGGCATACTTTGATTTGGGCAAGTGTTGATTAATTTAAGATAGAGAAAAAGATTTGTTCACGACATCTTATTTTTGTTTTTTAAAAGGAAATTGAATTTCTAAGATCAGAATAAAATTTTTATGCTCTAAAAGTTATTAATGACAATGAGATTATATATTAATAAGATTCAAATTCAAAATCATTTAGTATAAGTGAAAGAAGTTGCTAATAGATTTTTTTTTTCTTTTATATTGTAATTAATCTCTTATATATTGATCGTATATTCAATACGATATGCATTATTTTATATATTATCAATTTATTTATAATTATTTTAAAGGCTTTTGAAGTTTAAATTATTTTTTAATAATAGTGACAATAAATGATTGATTTATATTGTATATAATATATACTAATAATAATACATTAAATATAATTTTTTATAATTTTATAAAAGAGTTTGAGTTTATGAGTATTTGTATTTTAATCATAAGAGTAGTAATTATTTTTAAAAAATAACAATAAATTATCAATAAATAATTGATTCAATTAATTATGATTTATCTTTTTTTATAAAAAAATTTTAAATTCGAGTCTTATCGATTGTTGAAATCATCTTAAATATATAATTTATAATCACTTATATTAAATTATAAAATATGATTAATCTTATTCTGACTTAAAATATTAAACAACTTATATTATCCTAAATTTTTTCTTACCAAAAAGATATAGCAATAAACTTGCCAAATCACAAGACAAAAAAGTTCTAATTTCAACAAATATTGAAAAAGTAAAACTAAAAAAAAAAAAAAAAGGTTCAAAGTACAATTAACAATGTCGAAAATTCGTCTCTCTCTCTTTTTCTCTCTTACATTGAACAAAGACAGGACAGGTTCCAAGTTGATTTCATTCCTGCGTGTCATCTTTTAATAATATTTTGTCCATTTTGATGTCGAACAGATTGAAAATGGAACTCTTATCATCATTGATAAGGGCTTGATTTTCCAAATCGATTTTGAACATCCATTCTTATCCATTCACCTACATTCACAATACAATGCATGTGCAAAAATTTGGACAAAAACATGTTTAAAAGAAATGGAAAACCTAAAAAGACAACAAAAAAATAATAAAACATTTTTTATTGTCCTTGCACCTAGACTGGATCTCTGGTGTTATACATTACTTGCAAATGGATGTTTTCCATTTTTTTTTTTCCTGTTAATGATATTAAAATTTCTTACAAATAAAAATAATTATATGATAAATCTGATTTTAGATTGTAGAGGCTGTGATTGACGTATTGCTATATATATTTTGTCGTATTATCCTTGCTCTCTCTCTAGTACAATAATTATTTTTATGACTCGAATCCATTGGTCAATTACGTAGAAATCTATATAGATTTTTTTGGATTTAGCTTTTATAGTGAAAAGAAAATTAAATTCGAAATTTAATTTAATTAAATAATATAATTATTTTTAAAAATAATATTCGATAAATTTAATGTTCGAATTTTAATTTTTGTAATTTTTTTTTATTCTGAAATAACATCTTTTGTTAAAAAAAAGTTTTAAGTAGCCAAAAGAAAAGAATTTGGTTTACTAAATTAGTTGCAAATGAAATTAATTTTGTAAGATTATTAAAATTATTATATGGTGAAAGGATTTTAAGAGTATGTGAGATAAACAAGTTGAAAATTGAGCAAAAGTATCTGTGATTTTCTGGTACATATAACAAAATACATTGTGTGAAAATTCTTGAGATAGACAAGGTAAAAACAGGTAAATCCAGTTTGCTTGTCAAATTAAGTTTTTATTTTGTATGAACTTGTCAAATTAAGTGGCCAAATTTATCGTTTTCTAATGGACAAGAAGCACATGGGACATTCATCTGAGAAGCGGAAAATCAACAATGGGATTCTGGTCTCCGTGTGGTTCAAGAAAGGAACAACATTAATCAGATTTGGAGATCCAATGCACAGAATTGTTTTTACACGGCAATAAAATGCACGGTATTAAGCTATTAAAATTTCATTCATCCAAAAAAAAAAAAAAATCAACAGTTTTTATTAATAAACAGATTTATTATGCGTATTGATTTGTTTACTTAAATATAATAATTTAGATCATGTTCATAGAATTTTCTTTTAAATATAATTACATAAAAATTGAAATTAAAAATTATATTACATAAATCAAATATAAAATTTTAAAAATTTTAAAAATAGATATTTTTATTAAAAATTTTGATAGAGTTTTCATCACTTAAAACTAGTTTAATATTTTATTGTCGTGATTAGATATTTTAATGGTTTGGTATTAATGTGAAAAAATATTTTGTATAATTGAAATTTTTTAAAAATATTTAAAAAATAATAAAATATTAAAAATATATAAATAATATAGTGATTTTCTACTCCACACATATTTTTTCACTTAAAAACTAAAAGCTTTTTGGTTTGGGTTGGCAAATCAAGTTTTTAAACTAAAAAATCATATTATTTTTGGTATCTAATATTGAGGTTGTTTTTACGCGTATATGAGGAAGCCAGGTGAGGAGAAATTCAAACACTCCGTTTGTTCTTTTTTTTTTTTTTGTTTATTTTTTTGAAATATCTCAAAATTATATTTTTTTTAACATTTAAAACTCTTATTTATTATATTTTAATTTTTTTAACTTTTTAACATTAAAAGTCTTGAAATTTTAATTTTATAAAAAATTTAATCTTAATATTAAATATATTAAAATAAAAATTTTCTTCAATTCTATAAAAACCAATACTATCCAAACAATTTGGAAAGAAGGAAATATTACCTAAGTCATTCAAAAGATAGATAATGACAGTTAGATGAAGTTTTTTTTTTTAATTTATTTTTTCAAAAATTTTCTTTTTTATTTTTACAATTTTAATTTTGATTTGATCGTATTTACACTTATTTATAATAGGAACAAGTGCATGAAAAGATGACATTTCTAATCATTACCAAAAATGAATTTATTCCAAACAGTGTAAAAGTACAGAGACATCGGCTGCATGTGGAGATATTTTAAAGGAGTGAATTATTGTTTGTTTTTTTTTTTTTTTCATATTTGCTGTCAGAATTTAAATTTAATCATTAAAATTAAAATTTTAATATTTTATTGATAAATCATTCGATTGTTTACGGGTGAATTATTGGTTTTTGGCCCCTTTAATATTCAACTAGGAAAATAGGGTTAACATTCAAACCTGCCAAAAATTGAATAAACACTGCAAATGTTGTTGTATTTGGAAGAGAGGAACTCAAATCATTAATTAATTTAATTACTGATTTAAATGCAATACCATCAAATGAATTAGGTTTGAGTCTAGCAATTTAACACCATCAATCCTACTTGCAGAGTTATTTTTATTATTTTTAATATCTTCACTCGGCCTATAAACAAATTTACATGAAAAATAATTTTTTTAATTTAATAAAATTTTTATTTATTTAATTTTGAATTTAGAATAAGATTTTTAAATCTTAAATCATTAAGATATGAGCTCAAGTATATTTAGGGTCGGCAATTTAACCAATTTTCGATGGGTTTCGATCCGATTCGATTTTACGATGTATTTTTTTTTTTTGAAATTCGAGTTTTGGATCGGGTAAGATTATGAAACAATCAAGGTCGGGTCGGATTTGGATTTTAGACAAATTCGATCCGACCCGATATTATATAAAAAAATATTTTTTAATTAATTATTTAATTTTTTATTTATATAATGATATTTTTAAATATTTATATTTTAAAAAATAATATTTTATTAATTTCGGTTCGGATCGGATGAGATGCGATTTATATAATATCAAGTTGAATTCGGGTTAGGGTATGAAAAAATAAAAAAAAATTCGGATAGAATCGAATTCGAGTTTGATAACACATAAAATCGGATCAGATTCAGGACAAGCAAAACACGTCCCGAACTGACCCGATTCCCACTCTAAATATACTCTATTTTCTCTATTTATACATTTCTTTTTCAAAATACACAACAAACCTCCTTGTATCACATGCATTTTTTTTTTTTGGTTTAATTTTTTTGAACCACATAAATGCATGTGAAATTTACGTGGTGGTATACTCATTTTAGACTTCTTAAAAAACCTGCAAATTTTGCTTGTAAATAAAATAAAATTGAATTTTTTAAGAATAAATTGATTATTTATAGCCAATAATATCAAAACAATTTTAAGGTAACTACAAATTAGAAGCAATGAGCAAGGAAGGAAGTAGCATTTTCCTTTTCAAATTTTTACTGCTTAAATATATTTACTTAAATAATTTAAACAGGATATGCTAATAGATACCCAAAAAAAATTTTAATTTTAATAAAAATATATGTTTCATATTTATTACATGAACTTAAATTTTAATACAATAATTTTTATATTTTATACATATTTAATATAAAATAAATAAATAAAAATATATAAATTATCATGTCTACAACTTATTTAGCTAATGACAGCAATCTTTGGCTGTAGAAATTAATTGGACAGAATTACAGCTTTGCACTTTTCTGGAAAAAAATAAAAAAAATAAATTACTAAAGATTTTATCTTCATGAATCATGTGTTCATCATCATTCATTTAAATAATTCAAGTTTAAAGTTTAAATAAAAAATTGTAGAGATTATTATGCATTTGTGTATATATATTTGACAGAAACAACTCAAACAATCAAGTCCCAGCAGACAACTTTTCTATGTTTCTTGCAGTTTCTTTCTCAGTGGTTGCTTTTCTATATATTTTTTTTCTTCTGTTTCTTGATACAGTTCCTCATTCCTCAACTCAAGTAAAAAAACCCAGTTCACTTTTGGATCAGATGTTCAGCAAAAGGTTTGCTTTTCTGATTCTATTCTTTGTTTCTTATAAAGAAAGAAGCCATTGCAGTGTCTTTAGGGAGACTGGTTTTGTAGTATAGTAAATGATTTGTGCTAGGTGTAGCTAAGAATATTCTGGTTTCTATTTGGTTATTAATAGAGTTGGTTTCTTTCTGGTTTTATGTTTGTGGGTTTGTGTTTGGTTGCTAAGAAAACTGAGTTTCTGGTATTCTCATTTCACAAACATAGAAAATATTCTGCCTTCTCCAATTTTCTTGTTTTCCCAGAAACCAAACAGAACATAAAAGTTCAGCTCTCAAGAGTTCACTTTGAATTCCAGTACTTCACATTCTTTTATAATTATAGACCTTTTTTTTTCTGTCAGTTTTACTCATGAAAGCAATTTGCAGTTTCTAAAAACTTGACTAATCTTTTTCCATTTTTTCAAGATTGATTTATTTTTATTTTTAGTTTCTTCATTTAATTTCAGACATACAGATATATATACCAATTCGCCTTCATTATTTCATGCAGTGTAATGAACATTTTTAGGTGAAACCAACCTGCGAAAACAAGCCAATCACAGAGAAGAATTGAAAAGTTCCATTTAAGGTATGCAATATGTGGTTTTCTCCTCTTATTTCATAGTCTTTGAAATCCAATTCCTCTTCTAATTAACATGGTTCAACTGAATTTTTAAGATATTTGCAGAAGGAGATTGAGGTTAGAAGAGGATGAAGAACTCGGTGTCCGATCAGAGTTTCTACATTGAAAGTGAAGAAGAGGAAGATGAGGAGAAAGTTATTAACAAACATGATGGTGGAGATGACGGAAATGAATCTGATGCTTCTGATTCTTCAGCTGAAAACCAGCAGCAAAACAAACCCAGTTCCTACAATACTTCATGGCCTCAAAGTTACAGGTCATTTCTCTTTTCATATCTCACCTGATTTCACCACTGCTCTGTTTTTCTTTGCTTTGGTCTGTTCACTTTCATAAGTCAGAGTCTCATAGTCATAGCAGCCTGGATTTTTTTACAGAAATATAAAAAAAAAAAAAAAAAATTCAGAGGAAATTCAGGTAGATTTGAGTAGATCTTTAGAAAGGGAAAGAAAGTACTTTAACTATGATTGATTCACTCGTGATCACGATCGCCGATGAAAGATGTGCAAAAGTTTGTTTAGGAGATGCTTCTCTATGACACTTTGGCCTATAAATCCATCTGCAATTATTGAATTATGCTTAATCCTGCCCTGTTGATATTTGAAATATGAATCCTCTATGGGGCCCTAATAGAATTATACTATTTAAGTTGGTTGATTATTTAATTTTTAAACTATAATGTACAATAAAAAGATGTTTCTCTCATTCAATTTTGATCACTCAATTGTTCTACATTCTGCTGCTAGAACCATCAGGATGTAATTCCTTCAAACATACAAATAGTTGTATATTCTAGTATAAAAGATTTAGCCAAATTTGGTATAATAAGTTGAAAGTCCTGTATTCAAAGTAAACTGTTTTAGCCAACAGTCACATGGTCTGGACTCTTAGTTTCAGTCACCATATCAAACCCTGACAACCTCAACTAAAAAAAAAAAAAAAAAAAAAAAAAAACCTGTTTAATCACTTCTTTGAGGCATTGCTTACACTTCTAGTTTCAAGTATTTATGGCTTCTGTAAATTTTTCAGGCAGTCCATTGATATGTATAGCAGTGTACCATCTCCGAGTATCGGTTTCTTGGGCACTCCTACACTTTCAAGATTTAGTAGTTCATTTCTTTCCTCATCTTTGACGAGAAGGCATACTCCGGAATCATTATCTGCAGTGACAAAACCTCTACTACCAACAGATGATCAAATACAGCCTCAAAGACGCAGTTCGCATGCTTTGCTGCCTCCGATCCCATCGAGGAGACAATCTGCAAGAGTAGATGATAAAGCATCCAAGGTCTCCCATGAATTTCCAATTTCTCGCCACAGCACATATGGACAAGCTGTGCTCAATGGTTAGTTCACATATAACTCTTGGTCATTCCCCAATTTTTATCTGTCATGTAGTTGCAATTTCTCAATGTGATTGAAGCACATTTTTCTTGCCACTATTACCGATTTTGATTTAGCCATAAATCCTTCCAAAAAGATTGCTTACATTTAGTTGCCTCAGTTTGCCAAAATCGGATCATTGGATCATTAAAAAGATATGATCATGGTGCTTTTAGATGTCTACTTTAGTTTTTTTTTTTTTATCGAGTTTAGCACTCTTTCAATAAATCATATGATTATTGATTTAACTTTTTTATTCATATTGCAAGAAGATCTTTTATTGTAGGAAAGTGTGGTAAATTGAACTTGACTATACGAACACATCCTTACAATTAAATTCATGAAAATTATTGGTCTTGGACATTCAATTTTTTTTATAAAAAAAAAAATCATAATTTAAAAATAAAAAATATATAAAAATTAAAACTCGAACTTCAAATTTATTAAATACTATCTTTTAAAATAATTGCATACCAGCTGAATTAAACTACCATTCATCTAACTCATCTTTTATAAAAGCCACTTGCCATTTTAGGATTGTTTTACATCAACCAACCCTAACCTTTTATTGGCCTTTAATCAAAAAAGGAAGACAAAACCAATCATGTGTGGGATCACGTTATTTAAAGTGAACTAAAACAGGCGGTCACGTTTTGTCACCAACACCCCCTCCTCTCATGGCTTGAAGTAGGGCTCAGCTTTGTCTGATATATCCGATCCATCCTCTGTTACCACTAGTTTTTTTTTTCTTACCATCTTTCAGCTTATGTGGCTTGTAAACCTTAGCCAATAGAAAATCACTATGACAGGCCATGTTGTCTTTGTCCATTGCTCTTTAGTGTCATCATTTATTGACATGAAAACAAATTTTCTCAATTGAAACTATGATGAGTTGGCCTAACTTCTGTTGCACATGGTGCACATGAAAAGACAACTTGCCAACAAAACTATAAACTTTAGATGTCAATAAAAATCCATAGGCTGCAATGTTTGGCTTTAAAAAAAAAAGGTAGACAGCGATGAAGCTGTAAATGGGTTTTTTTATCCTGGTTTTTACAAATCCATAATAATCAAATAATCAATACATCTATCATCACCATTCATGTTTATCTAACCTTAGAAGTGGCAAAATAAGTTCAAATCTCAAAACTCGTCCAAAAAAAAACTCGAATAAGAATCCACCCGAACCCATCAAACTCGAACTTATAAAAAAAATTAAGATTTAAATCTAAACTGATTTGAACCTAAGTGAATTAAAACATAAATCTGATCAGATCAAAATTCATAATAATATGAATTTAGGTAAAATTTAATAAATTTAAGTATTATTTTTATTTAAATTTGAATCTTAAACTTAATATAACTCTATAAAAAACAATCCAAACTTGGAAAATTCATATCCACCAAACCGAAACTAGACTAATAATAGATGCATTAATTATTACCCAACTATAGATCATTTTATATGCATAGACAATCAATATTTGTTAAAAACAACTTAAGATTTTACATTTACTTGATTTTGAAACCACATTCCAGAACTTCAATCCAAATTAAATAAAGTACTTTTGATTTGCGTTTATGCAGGGATTAATGTGCTATGTGGAGTTGGAATCCTTTCTACCCCATATGCTGCCAAGGAAGGAGGATGGTTGGGTCTTATAATACTATTCACATTTGCAGTGCTTTCTTTTTACACTGGACTGCTCTTGCGCCAATGCCTGGACAGTGAACCTGGCCTTGAAACTTACCCTGATATTGGTCAAGCTGCATTTGGTACCGCCGGTAGGATCGCCCTTTCGGTAAGTTCAAGTCTTTTTTGGTCAATAGATTTGATAATTTTAAACACAAAAATAATATTAAATAAAATACAAAAATGATTCGATTTAAAATTTTAACAAAAATCGTATATGAATTTAACAAAAATAAAAACTATGTTTCGTATTTAATATGTAGACACGAATTATGATCTTGTCATTTTTGTGTTTTGTACATGTTTGACACAAAATTAATAAATACGAGTAACAAGAATTATCATATCAAATATTTTTGTTAATTACTATTTTTATGTCAATTATGAATTTTTAAATAATTCGGCAGACTTAGCAAGTTTTTTTTAAATGTTTCAAGATAGAAACTGGGAAAATTGACAGATTAAATTAGCACTAGTTTACAAAAACTGAATGATCACTAATGTAAATTTTGGTCTTTGTTTTTTCCTGTGATTGCAGATAATTTTATACGCGGAGTTATATGTAAGTACAGCTGGCTTTTCTAAAAGAATAAGTATTGTCTATTTTTTTTATGACAAATCCAATAGCTGTCAAGCTACAGCTACAATGGTTACAAGAGAAAATATAAGCTAAGATTCCAACAGGGTCGTCTTAAAGATTCCTAGGGTCCTACATTTTGGCTTTCTCTTCCTTCTACTCTACTCAGTAACTTCTATCTCTAATTTACTTGTTCATCAATGAAGGAAATAGTGGCTACAACATTTTTTTATACAAAGAGACCGTAGGTTGGGACAGGGAAAGAATTTTAGGTTTTATGATTTGAATTTCAAATCTATTAGATGTTACTATTTACATAAATCAATTGAGCAAAACTCGTAGTTCATTTTAAGATATGCTACAACTTTTTTAACGAATGCTACAGGGAATCATTTTTCACGTACCTGCAAAAAAAGATCAAAATCTTTTTTGTCATGCAAATTTTGAAGTTTCTGTCAAGCACAATTTCAGAATAATATGATCAAATTCAGCCAATGCCAAAAAGCCTCTAGGTTCAATGGCAAGTACACTACTACTTAAGGCATGGTCTATACGTCTGAGTTCTGACTTCCTGTAATGTAAAGTACCTCAACTAGAGTGAATTTTGGTCACTGAATCAATATTCAGAAATATCTCCTCATATTAATACCATTTTGTGTTTGCAGCTTCTAAAACTTTTTCGTATATCCTAAACGAGAACCTGGATGGTTAAATACTTTGATCAATTGCCAAAAAAAAAAAAGGTTTATTTTTTCTTTTTTGGGGCAAAATTGCAGATAAATTGTAAAAAGTGGTTCTGCATAACTTGATGAACTTATGATCACCTGCCACTATCATCTGATACCGTTGATATAGATTATTTACTTGATCAAATATATATTTATATCATGGAGAATGTATCATTGCTGTAGAATTTTTTTCTTTTTGAACGTGTTCACTTCTTTTACCAGTGAGGTTGTACCCTTACAATCTTCTCATGTGCAGGCTTGTTGTGTTGAATACATAATTTTAGAGGGTGACAACTTGTCATCCTTATTCCCAAATGCACACATTAGTTTGGGTGGATTTGAGTTGAGCTCCCCGCGTCTATTTGCAGTGATGACAACCATTGCTGTTCTTCCTACTGTTTGGCTCAGAGACCTCAGTGTTCTTAGTTATATCTCTGGTAAGAAACATACTGATCTCAGCACTTTGTAGCATAGTTTGAGTTAAACCTGACACTATAAAACACAACAGAGTGACACAATCCAAAATTGATAGGAAAAAAAATACGAAGGTGATACAAGTTAAAGTTTTAGCAAAAATATACATGGGTTTAACAAAAACCAAAGAAATATATTTCATTTTTTTGTATCGACACAAATTATTACATATAATTTTCGTGTAAAATACGATACAAATACACGAATTGCCAAGTCTTGTCTCAGTGTATTCTTTGTCTGTTTCCAGCTGGTGGAGTTGTTGCATCAATCTTGATAGTACTCTGCTTGTTTTGGGTTGGCTTGGTAGACCAAGTTGGCTTTCATAACAAAGGGACTACATTGAACCTGTCTACTCTACCTGTTGCTGTTGGACTTTATGGCTATTGCTATTCAGGACATGCTGTTTTCCCAAATATCTATACCTCAATGGCAAAACCAAATCAATTCCCTTCAGTACTCTTAGCATGGTAAATTAAAGCTACTCAATTCTATTTCTTATCTAAACAGACTCTGAAATCCAAAATATTTCTTGCTAAATGTGATTATGTTGTTACTCTTTCTGGGCTCTTTTTACCTTTCTGCATTAGTTCAGCCGGTTCAAGGTATTATTCGAACAATTGTTTTATGCCTTTTTTTTATAGTGCAAGGTTCTGCATTGTGTATGTTTTTTTCTCGTGTTTGAGGCTGTCGGATATTGAATTTTGGCCATTGAAACTAAGATGTACAACATTCTATTAACATATCACACGGTTGCTAGCAGTGTATATGCTATGTTGAAGTAAGAAAAAAGTTCATAAATTGTTGATTACTAACAATGTGCAGAGGCAGATCCACTCTTTGAACTAGGGTGTTCACGGATATCTCAAAAATTGAAAAATAAAAAAATTTGCAGGAAATTTTTTTTCCTAAACATCTTTTTCATTAATAAAATTGATAAATTTATTAATAATTTTTTATATATTTTATAAGTAAACACCTTGAAACAAAAATCCTAAATCTCCCATTAACCGTGTGCCTCGTTATTCCTTCATAGGTGGTCTTTGTAGTTATAGATGCTGCTAATCTTATCATCTTTGATTTTAATTTCCTTGCAGTTTTGGAATCTGTTCTTTGTTGTATGCTGGAACTGCAATTATGGGGTACACAATGTTTGGAGAAGCAACAGAATCACAGTTTACTCTTAACATGCCTAAAGATCTGATTGCTTCAAAGATTGCTGTGTGGACAACGGTACGCTGCTCATCTTATCAGATTTCTCTTGACAATTTGTCCTGTGCTTAATTATACTAATTGGTGGAATTGCACATATTTGAAAATGTCATCGATAGCAATGCAATGGGCTGATATCTGGCAGGGATACCAAGCAAAGTGAAAACATCTCGCTTATATGCAAACTTGAGAAAAAACTAATTCCCATGATATTATATTTTGTCTGGCAAGCCTTTCCACCTAGTGATCTCATCATTATCACTTTACCTTGCCTAGTCAAGGCTAGAGGTGTAAACAAGTCATGTGAGTTATTCGGGCTTAATTAAAAAAAAAAAAAAACTCAAGCTCAACTTGTTCACTGTCAAGCTAAGCTCGAGTTTAAGTTACTTAAGTAACGAGTTGAATTGAGTTAGAATAGTTTAATACCTAACTTGAGAGGCTTGCGAGCTTAGTTTAGCTTTTATTTTTGAAATATATTTATAAGTAAATGATAAAAATATAGTGTTTAATGTCAATATTTATAATTTTATCAAATTTAATTGAGCTTATCGAGTCGAGTTTGAGTGACTCACTTAAATTATGAGCCGAGTTCGAGTATAAAAAATAAAACTTAATCAAGCTCAAATTGAGCTTCGAGCCTTAAGTTTTCAAGTCCAAATGAATTCAAGTTTGACAGTGTATTGATTCGATTACACTAGATTACACTATTGGTCCAGACTTAATTAGACTTTCAAATAGAAAATTGTGGCTGTGATTAGTGATTAACATCCCCTCTGTTAACTATTTTTTTTTTCTTTTGCAGGTTGTCAACCCATTTACCAAATATCCTTTTCTTTATACATAGCACAATTACTGTGAAATCAGCTTATTAGGTAATGAAATAGCTCCCCTTTGTTAAAGGTTCCTGACAAATCCCATCAAGACATTCTCTACTTTGAACCGAAAACTTCATGGTCTTGCTCCCTAATGCCAAAGCATAAGAAAGAAAATAAGAGGGAACAAGAACTTGACATGTTCTTATGGAAAATGAGTGATCATGAGTAAGCATAAATCCCCATCCTTTTTTCTTGATGTTTTTCCTCTTTCATTGTCCTCTCATGTACCGACGGATTCAAAAAAAATTTTTTCTGCGGTGTTCATTTATAATATATATATATATATATATATATAAATCTGCCGATAAATTTATCAATTTTATTAACAAATATAGTGTCCGGTAAAAATTTTAGCTGTTCCATTTGAATCCGCCTCTGGTCTCAAGTTATAGAATGGTTGCCATCTTAAACTCCTAATTCCCTGTTAGATATGTGCTCTCATATCTAAGAAAAACAAATGTTCTGCCTTAATTAGAACGAACATATGCATTAACCATGTCTCCAGTGGCAATGAGTCTTGAGGAGTTGATACCATCAAGCCATCTCAAGTCTCACATCTATGCTATCTTAATTAGAACATCATTGGTGATCTCAACCTTGATTGTTGGTCTGACCATCCCCTTCTTTGGTAAGCATCTCTTGCTCTTTCTTTAGACTTGGCAATTCTTGTGTTTGTATTATATTCATATTGTATCAAACGCGAGTAAAACATGAAATTTTATCTTATCAAATTCGTTTGGATAGGCTAAACACAAAACAAACTTTTTTATTTTTGCCTAACTCATACAATTTTTGTTAAAATTTTAAAACTGTACTTTTTTATATTGTTTTTATGTTGTGTTTGAAATTGTGAAATCTATCCTTTTTTATGCATTTTCATTTAATCTGCAAAGAGAATCCTCTTCTGTTGGCAACATATCTGCTATTTTGAACCAAAAGAACATATTGGTTGTAGATTTATATGTTCTTTGATCTTTTGACTTCGGATCATCCAGTTAGTTTTAGGTATTCCATTATTAAATTTCCAAGCAATCATCGGAAAAGTTTCTCCTTCTTCCAGGTTTGGTAATGTCATTGATAGGATCTTTACTCACAATGCTTGTGGTAAGTTACCCTCTGCCATTTCATCCATGGAGATTCTTCAATGCTACTTGGTTGAAACAAATATTGAACAGAAGCCTAATGTGCTTTTCATAATGACCTTCTATGGCAGACCTTGATACTTCCTCCTGCTTGTTATTTAAGCATCCTGAGGGGCAAAGTAACCCGTATTCAGGTACGATCATATAATTCATGTAATACATATATATATTTATATGCATGCGGGCGCACACAAATGCATATATATGTAACATAAAAGTTTAAAAGTTGAGTAATTTAAGAAAACTGAATCCGTAAAGAGTTCTTTTATAACCTGCATGTAAAATTTATCTTTAAGCATGCTTTCCTGTTGCATTTTCTCATAATCTTACTTTTTTTTTTTACAGGCTACACTTTGTATTATAGTTATTGCAGTGGGAGTAGTTTCATCAGCCTTTGGAACTTACTCAGCTCTCTCCAAGATTGTTGAGAATTTGAGAAACTGAAAGCCTTTTTTTTTTTTTGGTTTAAATTAACTTCCAGAGTTGCTTTGATTATATAAGTACACAAAGTCTATGCTGTGCTGTTTCTTTAATTCCAAATGTTTAGTCAATTCTGAAATTTTGTATCCCTGTTTTGAAGTTTTGATGTGTTGTTTTCTTTATGTGATTTACTTGACACTAAAAAAGATCAAATGGATTTTATGATATGGCTCTTCTCTTGCTTATGTCATTTTTATTTTTACTAACTGCCCGTTGATTAAGAGACGAGGAAACGTGGATTGATCTTTGGATTAATTAACACGTTATTGTAGTTAACACATGAAAATTACAAATTTGAAAAAAAAAATTATGCACTAAATAATTTTTTAAACAAATAATTATTAAGATAGGAGTTAAATGGTAGATTGGTAACTAAAAAAAAAAAAAAATGGAGAAGTAGCTTAGATCTGTTTTGTTGGTAGACCAATTCGGGAACTTCAGTTCAAGGGTCCATTTATTGCCAGTTGCCAATTGCCAGCTTTTCATTGTTCTAACACAGTCATAAAAAGCGACTTGACTTCTGCAGACGAAACAAACGACGGAAAAGCCCAATCCGACAGCTGAAACAGTTCAACTCACTGGTCATTTATGTCTGCTCAATCTTTCATAGGACCCCACGAAGTATAACCTGTCTAAAATATCTCCCCTGAAAATCCCGAAACGGTGTTTCAACTTTTAACCTTTTAAACCTTTACAAATTTATACTCTTTAAAAATAAAACAATTTTCCTGCAATGACTTCTCAATCGTTCATCTCACGCTTCTCTCCGTCGCTCGAAACTCTTCTATATTACAAGTTTCAAGGTGACCCTTTACCTAGTTTTTCAACACCTTTTTTGAAAAAACCATGTTCAAGCTTTGATGGGTTTTCTTTGAAGAGAAAAACATTAGGTTTTAATGAGAAAATTTATGGGTTTGGAGGGAAATTTGGAATCCTTAATGCTTGGAAAAAAGAAGGGCATTTGGAAGAGCTGGATGATGCACCAGTGGCAGTTGAGTTGCAGCAAATATGCAGTGAGAGTCAGTTTGATAGAGTCATTGCTGAGGCTCAACAACTTGAGGAGTCTTTGATTATACTTTGGTAGGTGTATTTTTGAGTATTTAATTTTATGATTTCTATTGGTTTGTCTTGATTATATACGTTTTTGTTTACTTTTTGTTGTTTGTTGAATCTGAGAAAGTGAGTGAATTAGGCAGGAAAATGTCTACACCTAAAAGCCTTTTTTGAGAATCTGATTTCTTTAAACCATATCTTGTTCCAATTTAATGTTTTCGTGCATATAGAGATACATTGAGCATTGAGTTAGTCTTTGCTCATCCATAAATCTAATCCGCCATTCCCAAGATTTAAACTCAAACTTCTGGTCGAAATCTCCAGTTCTAAACGTGGAGGTGTCGCTTTTGAGACATTTTGTTTTCAATTTAATGAGATTAATTAACTGTGTGGTTTGGACAAAGAAAGTGAAGGAAATGGGAAATAGATTATAAGTAGGAGATATTCTGCCTTTCTAGACCCGGTTATATGGCTTAATTTAGATGAGACTGAAAACAAATAGAGCTTTTGGGTTTTTGGTTATTTGTAATGATTCAAATTGCATGTAGTTTGCTATATTCAACCTTTAGTTCTTGTCTGTGATGTAAGCAAAGCTTAGATGAAGGTACTATTGTTGCAAAGCATAATCGTAATCTTAAAACTACCACACACACACATATATATATCTGTGTATGTGTGTGTTGGGTTGAATTGATGTACAAAAAGCTTATTTTGCAGAATGCAGATCAACATGCTTTAATATTTCATTTTCTTGTGGATATGGAAATTATAGATTATGAAGTTTTTGTTTTACTTTCCTAGCGAATGCTAATGATGAGTTTGAGCAGTATATCAAAGTTATTTGAACTTGTAGGATGGCAAGCTGGTGCAGAAAATGTATATATTTGAAACCAAAATTGGAAAAGTTGGCAGCTGATTACTACCCAAGGTTAGCTAAGTTTCTTTGTTAAATCTCTGACACTATTAAACCTGTGTATCACAATGAACATAGGGCAACTTCCTTGTTATTTCTCAAATCATTCTGGTGTAATAACAACTTTCCTCCACATGTATTTGGATGTATCACTCTTTTGTTGTTATTAACTTACCTATCAAAAAAGAGTATACTCACAGTTTTTAAGCATAAGTTCGTAGCTACCTAGATCAACTTCACTCGTCTCGTTGGAAAATGCATTATCAATAGTTTGCTTATTGGCATTATAGTGGATGCAATTGAGCAACAACTTTTCCAGTCTCATATCAATAGCTTGGACTTGATTTAGGCGCATCCTTCCATTTTTCCTTCATCTTATGTAAATGACATATTCTGACTATGAACCATACTCTTCCTCCTTGGATAGCCCCAAACACTTGCAATTAGTACTTTCATTATGTTATATTTCTAGCTGGCCGTTGAATCTGGAGATATCTTTCCCATTAAGTGTGAGGAGCAGTGTGGGAATCTCCAAGCATCTAACTTGGATGTTTTAAACTTTTGCTTCTGTATAAAAATTTGTTGCATACTGATGCCTTTGTATTGAAGTATTTTCTCCATAGGTTATTGAAATTCTTCAATTGATCACTTCCTTCTCTTACTTTGCATTTGATTTTCCCTTTATCTGTTGGTCCTGCATCTTAGGATAAACCAATGGCTAAAATTTATATCAGATTGCTGCCATCATGTTTGTGTGTGTATCAAAAAAGCTTGTATTGTGTAGGTTTGTTTCTTGTTTGGAGTTGTTGGTGTCTGATATTGAGCAAGCTGGCTTGGTAATTAAGGTTATTATTATTATTATTATTATTTGAACGTTTTGTGTAGATTGCGGTTTTACTGTGTAGATGTAAACACTGTTCCACACAACCTTGTTGCTCGTGCTGGAGTCACGGTAAGTGTCCATAACTCTGCAAAGTACAATTGCTTCAGCAATTAGTCAGCTTAATAAGGCTCCATTTATTGGTGCTTTTGCTTTTTACTTTTTACTATTTGTTCCTTGTTTTCAGTTTTGTTTTTGTTTTTTGCTCTTTCAATTTGTATTAAAAAAACAAAAAGCAAATAGCAAAACCGCAAACCAACAGAGCCTAATTTTATATTTGAACTGTCAATTGTCAATGCTACTATGTTTCCTGTACTTAAAAGGCAGCTAATTATTCAATCTTTTGTGTAATGTAAGAATATAGAATAGCAATCACCCGTAGTATTGAAAACATGGTTCCCAAACTTGTGCTTCAGTCCTTTGGGCATTGATTTGATATCAGCAAGTTCTAGTTTCAATTTTCATATGATGCCAGATTTACCACTTTGCAGTGTTCTAAATTTTTAACAACATCCTGCTCTTTAGACTTCTTTAAAGAACGTGAATGATTGAAATAACATTGTGGGTCAACTGAACTACTTCCATGTATGATGGCATATTCTGTCTTTTTTTTTCTCTCTCTTCAAATTCTTCTGTCCGGCTGGGGCAAGAACTAATTGCAAAGAAGGGGTAGTATGTAGCTGTAAAACAAACTCTTGACAGGACTCAATATGGTTTTTTCGACTTACTATTCGTGCCCATCACTCCTCTCCACCTCTTTCTGATCCTCCCAAAATGGTGATATTGATCATAAACTTTGAGGCACGCAGAAACATAGTATGAATCAATTAGCTAAGAAATGAGTAGGAATTGTGATTCCGTCACCTTAAACAGAAGATTCTGAAACCTTCTCTAGTTTATCTCAACATTAATAAGGACATCCTTTTCTGTTAGAGACTTATGCAATTATGTATTTACGTTTGTTCCACGGTCACAGATGACTTAGATTAGTTGCTGGCAATTGCTTGCTGAGAGCTCTGTTAGCTCTTCCATAGGTTCTACTGGATTAGTGTCAGTTTTGAGGCAACAAAATCTTTAGATTCTAAAGTCATGTCTCCTATGACTGTTTTTAAAACAGCACTCAAACAGACATGGAAAAATATCTAACATTTTAAAATGATGTTGCAAATTCAATGATCATATCCTTGAATATGCTTGACATTTCCTCACTTTGTTTTTACAATTTCCCACTATCAGTTCATATGATCTTTAGTAATCCATGCATGATTTACTTTATTAATATAGTTGTGCAATTATGATTGACTTAATTTGTTATACCTTTTTACATGTTTCAATGCTGTCAACTCTGCATGCAGAAAATGCCAACTATACAGGTTAGATTCATTTCCTTGAGAAACTTGATTTCTGAGGGTTGTAAATATGCCGAGTTGAGTTTTGTATGGCCAATCAAGCTTGAGCATTGTCAACTTAGTGCAATATTAGATCCAATTTGAATTGCTTGGCTTCTAAAGAAAATTTTAAGTCAAGTTGCAGGTTTCTCAAGATTGGTCGATTTATTTTTTGAATGATATCTATCAACTCTTTAGCAAGCCAACCTTAAGCTGAACTTTGATAGTTTGATTTGTTTACAGCCCAAGTACTTTCTTTTTTAACTGAATAATGGTGTTTGCATTACAGTTATGGAGCGATGGCAAGAAACAGGCTGAGGTGATTGGTGGCCACAAAGCATATTTGGTTGTTAATGAAGTACGAGAAATGATTGAAAATGAGTGCACCAAGTGAGTGATACCAGAGCAGGCAACTTTTCATTTTTTTTTCCTACATATATCTCCTTGACAATGAAATTAAATTTGTAAATTTTTTTCTGATACATTAGATTGGCAAAAAATCATAGCTTAAAGAAAATGAAAAACCGGCATGTTGTTTCCTTAACTATGCTGTTCTATACGAACTGTTGCTTTTGAGAACCAGCAATAAAGAAAATTTTGATCAGAAACTTCAATTTATGTCCCTCATGTCTTCAAATATCATGCTATGAATTGCTTGGCAATGCCCTTTGTTCTGCTTTCATGTGAGAAGGGAATGCCACTGAACCCTTCTGTTGTAACTTCTCTAACATATATTCCCTTGCAGAAAGTTGAAATCTATAGATTTCTTCCTTTCCCAATGCCATTGTATCCTTTTTCATTGTTACTGACTTGTTTGAGAGATGGTCAGGTGATATTGGCTCTAGCAAAAGCAAGTATATGGGTTATCTTCCATTTTACAGCACATTGGACTTATATATATATATATATATATAGATGATATGGATGAAAAATCATCTAAAACACTCGGCGGAGTTTTTAAAGACCACCGGCGAGGTTAGGGTAATTGGATTATGCATATTCCTCAGTGATGATAAGGAAGGTAAGTAATGGGAAAATCAAAGGAATGATTGTAAAAAGAAATTTTGTTTACACATTTTGCATATGATCTTTTATGGATACGTCAGTCGATAAAAGTCATATGTAAAATCTTTATGTCGGCATTTATAAATATCCCTTTTAAAGGAAGATGATTAGAGATGACAATTCAATTCGATTTTGAAAGATTTTTATTCGATTTGATTTTTTATGATTAATTATTTTTAATCAAATTTTAGATCACGTTGAATAATAGTAAAAAAAAATTGCGATCAGATTATATATAAATTAGATATAACCTGTTCTATATATATATATATAATATTATTTTTTAATTTTATATTTATATATAATTTTATATTTATATTTAAAAATATTTTATATTTAAAAAATAATATTTTATTAATTTTAAATCGAGTCAGATTGAATTTGAATATAAAAATAAAAAAATTATCGAATTAAATCAAATTTAAATATTATAAATATAAAATTAAATTAAATTTAAGACATAAAAAAAAACGTCTTAACCCATCTCTTATCCTTAAAGATAACTGTTGTAACTTGCACCTATTAAAACTATCATATAATGGAATTAAGTCAGCATGTTAAAAAAATAAAATAAAATCTTTTCAATTTCAACCTTTAATAACTCATTAATCTGCAAAAACTTAAAAGACTTTTAATTAATCAAAAAATACGATTTATAATTGAATCTTTTAAAACGCTTCATTCCAATGTACGATTATCGGACCCTTAAACCAATCCAAAGTCATCACAACCACTTTTCCACCCAATAAAAATAGACAAAAAGTAAATCAAAAAGTCTTTGTTGTGGCAAGTGTCACAGAAGGATTGGAACAACGTTGCATGTTTTAAAGCAAATGTTGTTCTGCTGCGAAAGTATGGAATCTGTGGACTTTGCATGGTAAAGTTACCCCATCAGACACGACTTTTTTACACTTCCATTAATAGCGGTTAGGCGCGACCTGTTCCATCATTGTATTTCAGTAGGACTCTTCTAGAAATACAGCATTGTATTCGTCTTAACAACCTGGAAAGGATCACGCGCCGTCACATTATTTTGACATCAGATTTCATTTGATCAGATGATAAAATTATTTATGATAAAATTAAAAATAATTATAATTAAAAAATTTAAATTAATTTGATTTTATTAAAATTAAAATTAAAATTTAATTTAAAATATAATAAATTTAATCACATCATATTAAAAATACAAAGAAATATAACGGTTATTCTAATTTTACAAATTCAATAAATAAACATTGTAATGATCGGAAAAAAAATTTTTTTCGACAAATCATGCATTCCCGGGGGAAGATAAGTTAAAAGTAGGAAACGGTAACAGGATGTCTCGAGATTGATTTTTTTTTTAATTTAATTTGATGTAAAATTAATAAAATATTATTTTTTTAATAAGAGCGCAACATATTTTTTTAGAGATTAATAGATGCACGGATCGTAGGTTCAAAATTTTCGGTCGTTACTATTATTTTAAATTAAAAAAAAAAAAAGAAAGGATTGAAATTTACTATTATAAAATACAGTAATTTTTCTCTTTTAAATGCAAAGAAATAAAATTCGATTCAAACTTTTTGAGTAAAAATACATGAATTACACAATTTTTGAGAGTGTTCAACGTTTTTACTAGCTTTCCATCTGAATTTTTTGAATCCTAGAATGAAAATAAAAACTAAAAAATTATTTCATTCAATATCAATGAATTTTTAAAATTTTTATTAACGAAATTAATGACATAAAATGTATTTTTTTTATATATTAAAAATAAAAAATTAATATAAAAATAATAAAATATGTGACAAGAATTTAATATGAAATTAAAATTTTCATTAACAAGGTATAAAAATAAAATAAAATTTAATATTACTATGAAAACAAAAAATGAATGATTAAAACTTAAAGCAATTTCATGTCTAAAATGATATTCCCCGTCTTGTTATAAAAATTTTTAAAAATTAAAATGAAAATCTCCAGGGTTAATATATAAATAAAGTAATTTGATTTTTCCTTTTAATCCTCTGCCCTAACGCCATACAAAAAAAAAAAAAAAGAAGTTTCAACGACTCCCTATTTATAGCAATTAACGTCGATGCACGTAATCACCGTCCATCTTAATCCAACGCCTAATATCAACTTTTTCTGGGTCCCACTTCCCCCTCTATCTCTTTTTTTTTTTTCTTTTCTTTTTTGTACTTGTTTTAATAACTTGGAAAAGAGAAAAAAAAAACGACCGTTTCGAGAGAATCTCAGAGAAGACATTACGCGATCTTTCTCTCCTCCTCACCTCGCCTCCCTCTTTGCCTCTGTAAATTTTTTTCTTTTTTTTAAGTTTTAAATAATTGTTGTTTTTTACTCTAGTTTCAATCCCCAAATTTTCTTTTATTTGTTTAAAAAAAATTTGAATTTCTCTTACACGAAAAAAAAAAGGACTATTGATCGTCAAGCACCGGAAGTTTCTCTTTTACGATGACGTTTTACTCGCTATTCGATGATAGAATAAATATTTTTTTGCTGATCTCTTTTCTTTTTGTTTTTGTTGGGTTGAGTTTCACGGTGATTGGTTTTGGTGCTTCGTTTTTAATTGATGAGGGAATTTGCTTGAAGGGTTTTTTTTTTTTTAGAAATTTTCAATATTTTAATGTTTAATTAACACATGTGGTTGATGAGAAAATACCATTGGAGTTTTTACTTTTTTCTTTTTGTTTAATTTGACGTCCAGTTATATGTTTTATTGCTGAGAAAATACTTTGGGAATTATTTAATAATTTTAATGTTCAATCGTGCTCTGTTTGGTTGCTGAAGATGGTATTTAAAAAATTGTTTCTTTTCGGTTTTTGCTGAAGATGGGACCTTTTTTTTAAAAAAAAAAGTTGTAAAATTCTTTCTTTTTGTATTGATTTTTCATTTTGAATGATGCTCTATTTGGTTGCTGTGAAAATACTGGTAAGGGATTGAAAAAAAGAACTGATTTCTCAGTATGAAACACTATTTTTTTGTGATTTCTTTGAACACAAAATTCATTATTAAATGACTTAGAATGAAGAAAAAGAACCAAATAAATCTTTAAGACTTTGATTGATGGGTTTTGCTTATATTGGCTTATTGATTTTTGTTAATCAATTTAGTTTATATTGTATTTATTTATTTTTTTTTTTAATTTTTGTGGATGTAGGGTTTTGGGTATGGTTACTGGCAGTAACATAGATATGCTACCGACTATAGATAATGGTTCAGAAAGACCTAGAGGGAAGTTAGAAGATAGTTTGACTGAGCTAGAATTGATTTTGCGAGCGCATGGTAACCAACAATTTGTGAGTGGTGAAAGGGATCTTAATATGTGTAGGAGTGGCAGTGCTCCGCCCACGGTTGAGGGATCCTTGAGTGCTGTTGGTAGTCTTTTTGCTAATCCCGATTTTGGAGACATTAATGGTATCACTGGTGTTGGTAATAGTAGTAGTAGTAGTAGCAATAATGTAATGCTGTCTGAAGATGAGATACGCTCGCATCCTGCATATCTTTCATATTATTACTCCCATGAAAACATAAATCCGAGGTTGCCTCCACCATTGTTATCAAAAGAGGATTGGCGTGTTGCACAAAGGTTTCAGGCTAGTGGTTCTTCCCTTGGAAGCATTGGGGACTGGAGAAAGAAGTTGATTGATGGTGGTGATGGTTCATCACTATTTTCAATGCAGCCTGGTCTTTCTGTACAACAAGGACAAAATGATTCGATGCAACTGAGGAATGCCAATGCAAGGAATACACCAGGGAAGATGTCAGCTGAGTGGCTTGATAAAGGCTCAGATGGCTTGGTTGGCCTCTCTGGTTCTGGGCTTGGTTCAAGGAGGAAGAGTTTTGCTGACATTCTTCAGGTGATGTAGCCCCCAGTTCAATTGATGAGTTTGTAGGTTTTGTGAATTTTCAACCTCATTATAACATGATTTTAATGTTTCTGTACTGTTATGGGTTGTTTTGTCCCTTTTTTTGTGATATTCTTGCCACTTTGGATTTCTCTTATAGATGGTTTCCAAGTTATTTTCCCTCTTTTTCTTTGTTTAATTAATATGCTTTTTTCTTGCATTTTGTCTCTGTGGTGGGATTGTATTGAAACAAGATTTTTATTTTGATTGTAGATGTCCCATTGAACCATTGGGTGAAGTTCTCTATATATCTCATATGGTTGGTTATAATTAGGTTCTATTTTTTTCTCAGATTTTTTACAGTTTCCATCCAGCATCTTCCGATTTGCTTTTCCATTTCTGATCTTTTAATTCCTTTATTTTGGTTGTACCTATCTTTTAATTTGCTAAACTATTTACTCAACTCATTTTCTAGATCAAACAACGTCTAGGATTCCCTGGAATTTATGGGAACTTTATATATTTTTGAATCAGTTGGGGATTCCGTTCTCTTTTTTTCTTTTTTTGGTCTTTAATGCTGTAAGAATTTTTCATGAAATTTGTGTAATACAACAATGTAATAACCTACTTGTAACCTTCATATGATGATCAAAATAATTGGTGCAAAGAAAAGAGGGGTATAAAATTTAAGCTTCTAGATCCTAGACTATTTTCTTCTGCCCTTCAAAATAATTCTTCTCCAACATTTATATTGGAATGTATTCGATTATTTTCAAGTTTGGGGTAATAATGTAATGTTATTTTCTGCCTTTAGTTTTGTTTTGTAATGATGCAAATTTTTCTTATCTGTATTACTTTTATTTTCCACATTATTTTTATTTTTAGGAAAAACTCATATGAAGGTTTTTAATTTGAGTTTGTGAATTTTTTTAATATAAATGTTTCTATTAAAATTTAAATAACAAATCCAAATGATAGATTGATAAAGTTCAATGAGAAGATCAATAATATGTAAAAAAAATTATTGAAAATGCCATTTATAATTCAAATTTGATCAGTAATTATTTAACGGTAAAAATTCTGGCAAAAATGACGATTTAAAAAAGTCAAAATTTATTAAAAATTGTTTCAAATTTTACACCCTTGATCTATGTAACAAGACCTTTCAATTTATTGGTTTTAATTTTCTATGTTAGTTTTTGTTTACTCGTTTTTAGTTGAGAATTTCATGAACTTCAGCTAAAAAACTTCATCTAAGTTTTCTCCTTTTATTTTTATGCTTGAAACATCTTGACATTGCTTAACTCTGAATAATTTGATCTAATTCAATTGAAAATGGGTCATTGAATAAGTGAAATGCCATTTATTTAATTTAACATGTTCTCTGGTGCAACTAAGATGATAATCTCCTGCAGGGAGGACTTGATCGACCTGCGACCTTATCAGGCCACCTGTCACAGCCATCAAGTCGTAATACTTTTAGTGATATGTTGGACACAGATAGCATTGCTGATCCCAGCCCACCTGGTTTTTGTAATGGAGCAGAGCTCATGGAGGGCTTTCCTGCTGGAGTAGCACATCCAGGTGTGGTAGGAGTTCAGAGCCATGGTAAAACCACTTCTCACTCTTTTGGATCTGCTGTGGGTTCATCATTATCAAGGAGTACAACTCCACAACAACATTTAGTTGGGAGGTCTCCTGGTTCTGGACTTCCTCCAGTTGGGAGCAAGGTGGGCCATGTAGAAAAAAAGAATATCATTGGATCTAATGTCCAAAATGTTTATTCTTCTACTGTACCTGAACTTGCTGAAATTGCAGCTACATTATCGGGATTGACCTTATCAAAAACTAGACATGCAGATGAGAATAGTCATATGCGATCTAATCTTCAGGCTGATATGGATAATCAGCTAGAATTTTCATTCAACATGCCCAATGGTCATAATCAGAGTGTGCAGCACCAATTTATTGACAAGTCCAGTGCTGAAAAGCTCTCATTTTCTACAAACTATATTGACTTAGCTAGGGAGAAGGGGATTGCACCTAATATTAATGCTTCTAAGATTAGTTCCAATGGGCAAGTCAGCATTCCCAAAAGAACTTCCTCTTCTGCAGATCTTTATGCAGAAGTGCATCCTTCAGGGCTTGGAAGTTTGGAAGGATCTGATGTTGGCCATCTCAATGTGAATCTTATGAACACAGATTTCATTGGCCATCTTCCTGGTGCTTATTCTGTTAACCAGAAGTTAAATTCTACAATTAAGAACCATTTAAATGCAGGTATTGTATCTTCTGGAAGCTTATAGCTTTCTTTTGGCATTTATCATTTTGTATTATTTTCTCTTTAACATACTATGTTGTGTTTTTTGTTTTAGGTTCCTCTTTGGCTGGTAATGGTGATAGGCAAAGTTTAAGTAGAGCTGGTAATCAAGGATCTAACCTTGTTTCTCCACTTTTGGATCCTCATTATATCCAGTACTTGCAAAGAACTTCTCAGTATGCAACACGTGCTGCAACTAGTCCTGATTCTCTGCATGCTGGGAACTATGTTGGTACTTTGCATGGGGATTTGGATGGCCTTCAAAAAGCGTTCCTTGAGGCAATATTAGCTCAGCAGAAGCAGCAGTATGAACTGCCACTTTTAGGTAAAGCTGGTGGTCTGAATCATGGCTATTATGGGAATCCCTCGTATGGTCTTGGCATGCCATATGCTGGAAATCCACTGGCAAATTTTGTACTCCCATCCATTGGTTCTGGAAGTATACAGAATGACAGAGCACATTTTAATTCAATGATGAGAAGCTCGACAGGAGCATGGCACTCAGATATCAGTAATAGTGTGGATGGAAGATACATATCATCTTTATTAGATGAATTTAAGAACAAGGCTAGATCTTTTGAACTTGTAGATATTGTTCACCATGTTGTTGAATTCAGGTATGCATCATGTGCCTTCTCTTATGTGATAATGCACTCATGCGTGTAATGTACTGAGCCTAACTCTTATTGCACAATGCAGTACGGATCAGTATGGTAGTCGCTTTATTCAGCAGAAATTAGAAACTGCCACGGAGGAAGAGAAGAACAAAATATTTCCTGAGATTATTTCCCATGCTCGAGCTTTGATGACTGATGTCTTTGGAAATTATGTCATACAGAAAGTATATGCTTCTTGATGTACTTCTTTAAATCGGCCAATCACCCTGTTTATAGAGTTATAACTGGTTTGTCTAATTGTTGAGCTGGATTTGCAGTTTTTTGAGCATGGTACAGAAAGTCAAAGAGCAGAGTTAGCCAGTCAGCTTACTGGTCATGTGTTGCCTCTTGGTCTTCAAATGTATGGTTGCAGAGTGATTCAGAAGGTTCGTGAACTGTATTTCCCTAGCATTCATTCTTTTATAAAAAAAAAAATTCCCATGCTATATTGGAGCCATTTTTTAGTATCAATACCCTACATCTATACTGGAGTCATTTTCTATTAAATTCCCAGGTTTTGTAGTACTTTTACATGCTGCATGAAACCATTTTAATCATTCAAATCATAATCATTGAATGTTACAGTTACCAGATGAATAAGCATTTTGCTGATGAGTTCTGATGTAGATGGATCGTGCTTTTCATGCTTTTCATGCAAGTGCATGTTCAAAACCATTGTACTTATTTTTGGCTATTTAATGACTTAAATGTTTGACAATTTGCTTTGATAAATGGTATGAGATGAAGTTCTGTCTTATCAGGATGGTTCACAAAGTTAAATTGAGTTGCTTGTATATCTTATGGGTTTATGGGGGTTATGAAACCCTCTGATTGCTACAAATCTGATGACCACAGGCTATGGAAGTGTTTGATTTGGATCAGCAAACAAGGATGGTGGCAGAGCTTGATGGTTCAGTCATGAAATGTGTTCGTGATCAGAATGGCAATCATGTTATTCAGAAGTGTATAGAGTGTGTCCCGCAAGATCGAATTCAGTTTATCATTTCAGCTTTCTATGGTCAAGTTGCAGCGCTTTCTACCCACCCTTATGGTTGTCGTGTCATTCAGGTTTGAAATTTACTGATCATACCCTTTCATTGCTGGAGATTTGACATTTACTTTTATTGATTTTTCTCACTATTAATGCTGATAGAGGGTGTTAGAACATTGCAATGATGTAAAAACCCTACAAATCATTATGGATGAAATTATGCAATCTGTATGCACTCTGGCACAAGATCAATATGGGAATTATGTTATTCAGGTATTTAAGCTTCCCTTTTGAATCTAGCCTATCATTTACTTTTCATTTGGGAAAGTTATCTACTTTAGCTGCTATCAAAGAACTGGATTTGACCCTGTTTTCTACAATGTTACCTCAAATTAATTAATTGCTTTATCTGTTTGTGCTATGCATTGCTAATGTAATATGTTTCGGGAATCAGTTTGTAATTAGCAAAATTTTCTTTCTTTGAATATTCTTTGACATTATACCACCTTGTCTTGGTTTCCAGATCGGTCTTTATTGGATTATCTTGAAACTGTGCTGAAATCCTGGTCTTGTTAGAAAGCTTATGCGTGTTTGGTTTCACGCTAAAATCACTTTTTATTTGTGCCCTTTGAGACAAGCTATGTCTTCCTTTATTTTTTTCATGTTGTTTGTTGGTCTAGCCACCTCTTGCCAATGTACGTCTGATTTAGAACATCCATTTTATGGTATTAATTATGTGTCTCTGACATGTCTATTTCTGTGTGGTAGCATGTTATTGAACATGGTAAACCACATGAGCGATCTGCCATTATCAGCAAGCTTGCAGGACAAATCGTGAAGATGAGTCAACAAAAATTTGCTTCTAATGTTGTTGAGAAGTGCTTGACTTTTGGTGGGCCAGAGGAACGTCAAATTTTGGTCAATGAGATGCTTGGTTCTACCGATGAAAATGAGCCATTGCAGGTCTGTTGCAGTAGTAATTTCCTTTTCCATGTTCTAATGGTGATATATGTATGTATTTGTGTATGCCCCGAGTAATCTTTTTATTGTTAATTTTCATGAATCTTTTTTATTATATTTTTTTTCAGAGCTTATGTTTGAATTCTTTAATATCACTTTTCTAATTTAACATTCATTGAATACATAATTACAGGCTATGATGAAAGATCAATTTGGAAATTATGTTGTACAAAAGGTTCTTGAAACTTGCGACGACCATAATCTTGAGTTAATTCTTTCTCGTATCAAGGTTCATTTAAATGCCCTGAAGAGGTACACTTACGGCAAACATATTGTTTCTCGTGTTGAGAAGCTTATTGCAACTGGAGGTAAGCATCCCTTATATTTCTCTTAAATTTTGATCTTCTCTTTTTTTTCGGCCAGCCATGCCTACTTATAAACCCAAAATTTTGACCTGCAGAAAGGCGCATAGGATTACTATCCTCATTGGCCTCCTGAATAATCCATATATAATCATGTATGGCATTTTTTTTTCTCTGCTGCCATGACAAGACTGCAAATAGATACAATTTGTACAGTTGACATGGATGGTGATTTTAGCATTCATCATCTTGAGTCTTATTCACTATAAAAAGTTGTAGATAAACATAAATCTAGTAGGTCTGTAGAATAAGATTATCATTGTCAATATCTAATTGTATTTTCGTCGCATTGTTTTGGAACTCTGATGAATCAGACCAGAGGATGGCTTATATTTTTACTATCCATTCTGGAAGTAGATGATAGAAGCTATAAGGATGACTTATATTTTTGCAATCCATTCTGCAGGTAGATAATAGAAGGTATAGATTGTAAAGCTGTAGCTTGGATGTAATTGTTTAATGAGAATTTTTGCTTGCATATTTACATTTATAACTTATTGAAATCAAAATACAAGCCTTATGCATAGCATGTGATTCATCTCTTTAATTGCTATTTGATTTTTTAATTTATTATTATGGGACATGGTAGAAATTTATATTTATTCATATTTTAATGAAATCTAAAGACATGATCACATGATTTAAGGTTCTCATGTACTGGCATGTGTATTCTTATGGATTACAAAAAAAAAAAGTTACAATTTAGTAAGTATTTTAATTATTTTCATGTAATTTTGATAAAATTATTAAAAAAGTTATAGTTCCTTCTAAATACTTTTTGATTTATGTAATTTTGAAAAATAACAAAAAAAGTTACTTTTTATTATATTTTTTTTACTATTCTCACATAAAAAAATAACTCTTTAATAAGTTCTTATTTTCTACGTAAGTTCATGGGTTATTTGACCTTTATGCTCTATATTCATCTCTACAAATTTGATCAAGTTAACGGAAAATTATTAGGTATCTTCCGTGAATTTTTTTCACTTGAAAATTAGAATATATGAGATAGGGGAGAGTGTAGCTAGAGAAATAATGAGGTTTTAGGAGAAAAAAAATTAATGATAAAAATATTGTTTTTTTTTCTAATAAAAATATTGTAATAAAGGTAAAAATAAACAAAATATGATTTATATTGATTTTTTTATTTTATATCTCTCATTTTTTAATTCTCGTTTTTTTTTTTCACTTTTAATTATTTTAAAAACATATAATATGTATAAATATTTTTAAAAAAATGATCAATTAGGCCAGCTCTAAACAAAAGAAATTGGGTGCAATTGGTGGTTGGACTCAGTTGCACAAGAGGATGAGAGGTGATTGTAGAGGATGCAGAAGGGCTAGGGTTTTGAGAAAAAATAAAATAAAATTGGGTTTCAAGTACCAGTGGGAAGTTGGGTTAGCTCACAAGAGTAAAATGGACCCAGTGGTTAAGTTATACTCTCTGAAAAAATAAGAGAGTGGGCAATAACAGTTTGAATATAAATGGACTTTAAAAATTATTCGATTTGAATCTGATTTAATTCAGTTTATTTATTTTTTAAAAATTTATATTTTATTTTTATATTATTTTAATATTTTTAAATAAATTTAAATATAAAATAATTATTTTTATTTTATAAAAATTTAAAATACATAAAAATAAAAAAATATATAATTTAATTTGATTTATTTTTTAATTTTTTAATTTAAAATTTAGTTCAAATTTAATATATACATTTAATATTTAAATTTAATTTAATTCAAATAAAAAATCAATTCAAATTAAATCGAATAATAAAATTTTGAATCACTTTCTAATTTTTTTTAATTTTTTTCTCACCATACCTCCAATATCACCAAATCTTAACGTGGTAAATAGAATTGTTTATAGATCGAACCTGACATGATTAACACCTCAAAATTTGTCCAAATGTCTCATCTGATCTGTAAATATAAACATCTATTATTATTATTATTATTATTATTATTATATTAAAAAATATTTTTATATTAATATTTTAATGATTAAAAATATATTTTAAAATTAAAGTACATAAAAATATTACTACTTAAACTAATATCTCGAGCAGAGTTGGTGACCCATTCTTGGACAGTTCTAGCTGTTGATAATGTAACATTCCCAAGTTTCAAAAACATTGGGCCAAACGAGACAATCTCATAACGAAATCAAAGATTCTGAGCAATAATGTAATATTTTCAGAAAGAAAAAGTACTTTGAAAGTTGAGATTAGATTAGGGGCTTGCGAAAAATATCATTTTATTATCTTATAATAATACTATAATATAGCACATACAAAAATTATAACAGACGACTTTTATTAGTTTATTTACAATCATAGCCCATTAAGAAAAAAAAAAAAAAAGAGTCCAAAGGTCATCTTTATATACAAAAATGAAATTGCATGTTCAAAGAAAGAAGCATGTCAAAGGAACCCAAATGGAAATCCACTCTGGTAAAGAGACCAGATGCCACCATGAGGATGGCATCCTCTAGCTTCAAATCATCCACCATTTCTTTTTTTTCTTGCTCTCTAACACCGGCAATTCTGGATGTAGAACAAATATTTTCAAATAAAAATAGTAATTAAGTTTGTTAATTTTAAACACGGTATGATGATACAATATTAAAAAAAAATACGAAAGTAACAAATTTAAAATTTTAATAAAAACTGTATATAGATTTGATAAAAACAAAAAAAATATTTTTGTATTTGATATGTCAACACAAATTATGACGTGACAGTTTTTATGTTTGACACGAAATGACACAATACAAATATTCGAATTGCCATGTTTAATATTAATTATAATTCCATAACCTAAAGATGATATAACTACAAGGTCTTGGACAGACAGAGGAGCCCATAACACAAAATGGTCACTGGAACAAAACTAAAGAAAACAAAACAAGGGCCATGTTCATTTCTCAAAATCATGGGGCAGATAACTAGAAGAGCAAACACAAAACAAAACTTGCCTGGTATACCTAATATTTCTGCCTATAACAAAGGTCAGTGTCCAACTGCTGGATTTACGAAAGCCTAAACAGTTTCTCGGGTAATGTTTTCAATTTTCATCTTCCAAAATTTTAAGTTACTACAGAACATACTACTCGGTTTAAATGAAGAATAGCAACTGATGTTTTCATAAATGCATGTTGTTGTGTTTACCTTCTAAGGGATATATCGAATTATAGTGCACCTCGGCCCAGAAACTCAAGAAAATAACTGCACCAGTCACAAATCATAAACAAGCAACATGGAAGTGAGTATCAAGTGAAGTACATAAAACCTGGCATCTAGAACAGCCATATTAGAAAAGTACAGCATTAAGTTATCCAATTCTAAGAGGTGAAGAATTCCTTGATCATGCAATTCTTGGTCTAGCTAAAACAAAAAAGTCAAAAAAACTATTTTGTATAAATTCAAAGAGGAAAAAATTGCAAATTGATAATCAATTTGGACCGTGATATGAAAATGAAAATCTCGCAAAACTCTACCCACAGAACAAGTATATTCACTTCTAAAAAATTGGGAAACAAACTGCAACACAAATATAATTTATACAAAGTTGAGGGAGAATAGAGGATCCATGAATTCAACAACCATTACACAAGCTTAAAAATTGTACTTTTTTTTACATATCTAAATTTGTGGTTTTTCTGTTTTCTCCGGGAAAATGTTGTGATGAGCAGGAAACAAGCATTGTAACTTGAAATTGGCCTTGAAAATTTAAAATCTAATGATATATCTGAACATCTCACATTTATGAACCATAATCAAATTAATGCTACATTTCCAATACTAAACCATATAAAGGATGAAAAGCATCAAGATCTTACTTCGTTGAGACTTTTGATTGCGTGGAAGGATCTCGATGTAACATGTATCCTTAAATGAAGTTAATACAAATATCTTCACCCCATACTGCAATAAACAGAAAATTTGCATTAGTTATCTATTATCTTTTAGTCCACATCAGAATAAGCAAAACATTAGCGTCACAAAAATACTGCAAGATAAGAAAGGTTATGTGCTTAGTGTTGTTTACATATATTTGTAAAAATAACTCATCTCTTCAAGCAACTTCTCAAGCATATCATGAATGAAACTACAAACTAATTCCTCTTTACAATAAGTGAATGTCTTCAAAGAATGCCAATAAAATTCCTCAATTATTTTCTAAAATAGAACTTGAAAGTGCTTGATAAACAAGTATTATTAGACATATTTTATTACCCAACCTGATAAAATGCTTAAAATCTTAATGAATCGGAACAAGTACTACATGATAGTTATAAATTATCTATTTTGTTGCCTTACCTCAACCCACAAATTTGTGATCATTGTCATGTTTTTAGGCAAGATGCACAAATTATTGCTCGCATAATTTTCCAATCATAGAAAACCACACTCATTGCGGTGACAAAGTTCACCGGCACAGGTAAAGCATCATGTTAATACTTCTTTCAGAAGATAAGCATGCATATAGAACTTACATGGCAAGCATTTCATAAAAAAATATATATGTAAACAAATACTAAGGAAGTTTAAGCCTTATGGTGGTACAAAACATATGGACTACATTCAAATTCTTGCAATTCAACAGTCAGTTGGGAAAAGAACTAAAATTAAATCGTGCTAGAAATAAAAAGGTTTGGTAGTGGACATACCAAATCTGCAGCTGCTTGCAATGCAACATGATCACCCCATTCACCATTCCTGCTTCATCAACGTGAATAACTATAATAGGCATGAAAGTGTTCTTAGAAAGTTTTTAGTAATAAAATAGCAGGGAAATGAATATTTTTACTTGTTCATTTTCTTCAAATAGTCACCATAAGCCATAGGAACATAACCCCTGTACAACTCCGGATTCGATTTAAGCTAATGAGAAAAAAAGAAGCATAAGACTAACAGGTGAACCATGCCACCAAAGGAACTAAATTGACTAGAAAAAATTGAACTTATGGAAAAGCCAACCAACCTGGGAAACAACTTGCTCCCTCACACTGCTGTGGTGATCTTGAGAACGGTAAAGTTGATCTGATAAAGAACGAAACTGGAACATATAAAATAAGATAAATCACTTAAGGTATTGACAAAAGGACTAATCAAAATTACAAGTAAGGCTTCATGGTCGTCAAGTTTGATTAAGAAATCAATAGTTAATCCACTGATGATTTTCTTGAGAAAATAAGTCCTAAATAATGTACCACAAATAATGCATCACAATTTCATGACTAAATTTTGAAAGAGGCATATCAATTTAATTACAGCCAAACTGAAAGAAACCAAGAACAGCAAACTTATTTCTGTCATTATATTTACATATGTAGGTTTCCATGTGTTAAGAGTTTACGTTGGATGCATAATTTAACTAACAGCCAGTAGAACCACCCTAAATCTAGTGCAAGATTCCAAAAGAATACACAGCTTTTCAGCCAAGTAGAAGAGAATCATAGTGGACAACATATGGAAGCCAAATTTTTGTCCATTTTCATTGCCTTCCTTTGAACTATATAAACTCAGGGTCAAACTATTGGCATATGAATACTGTGCCTTTTCAGCACATCCATTAAGTTATGAAGCTATTTAGATATAGACAACTGAACATAACAATGGTAAATGAAAATTCATATTAGCCACAAACAGATAAACAACAGAAAGATTCAGTCTAATTCAAGTGATTGCTAGAAGACATGATTTGCACCATCCTAAAATTATTGTATGCAGATACTATTAGAACTATCAGAAAGATTATAAATAGTAAAGTGTCAACTCTCATGACATTAGCACAGAAATATTTCAATAGTATCTTCAATCAACTAATTAAGATCCCTCTCAATCACAAGTGCTTGGATCTATATCTCATTACAACTTCAGCAAAGAAAACACTTGTGCATATTAATATGCAATATATGTATCTTTTATTAGAGAATTAAGTAAAAACCAACCTGACAGTTACCATCACCTTGAACAGTATTCTCAACCAGGCCATACAACTGCAACCTGAAAGATAAAATAATGATTTCTAAATTGAATATGCTATTAAAACCAAACATTCATAAGATTCAGTGTATGATTAAAAGCAACTTAGCCAAATAACTTAACTGCAAAAATATTTTTTAAGAAAATGCAAAAGAAGAAAACAGAAATGGTAAAAAAAGAACAGCTCCCTAGATGCCAAAATTGAATGGCAAGTTATAGCAAATAATTAGGAAAAAAAAAAATAGTGATGAAAGGGAATTCCAAGGAAAAGAAGCAATCACTTTACCAAAATGGATCCCAATATAAGAGTTAAAATATTTTAAAGAATTAAAAGAAAAAAAAAACGCTAACCAAGTAAATTTCTTAATGCAAACAAAATACACATCCCCAAATAGACCTTACTATCTTTAAAAAAAGAGAATCAGGTGCAAAGGATCCTCCTGAAAAAGGAGCTGAACTATTAATCAACATGGATCCAAATGTGGGCAACCTCATCATACAATCATACGAAAGGGAAAATGCCAAAATCACTGGTTAATCCTCAATCCCACTAAAAATATATTTAAAATCAAACATGTTTTCCATACCTTAATTTCCCACTCCCTCAAGAATGAAAACATTAAGCAACCAATCTCTTTCCAACGAGTCCAATTTGGAGCCAAATGAGCTCATATAACCATTGATAGATGAGATTCCTCTCAATGGACTTTGTTAGTTTCTTATCTTATAACGTAATGCAAAAGGAATATCATTTGAAGGGACTGAGTGAAAGGCTAAACTCAAATGATTCTTATTTAGACCCAGAGCAGCTAGTTTGGGAATTTACTATGTGCTTTAGTTTTTAAATTCTAACACAATGTAAAATTGAGTATTATATCTTTTTAAGGTTTTGCTATCAAACTTCAACAAGAAGCTTCTATAAGGAATTTTATGACCGTTGGTCAGAACCACCTGCAATTTCAATCATGGAATCGAGAAGTTGAGTTCTCACAAAAACAAATTAGGGGTAAGGCCATAACATTCAAAGAGAAAAAGCAAAGACAAAGGAAGGCAAGGGAGAGTAGATTTGAACCAAGGAATGTCTAGAGGTACATAAAGCTACTAAATGAGAGTGATTTAGTCTCTGCAAGACCAAGATAGTTGCCTGATATGCAGATGCATTTCTTCAAATTACTGACCTTGGAATTGGGTCATAGTTTGGGATGTGAATTCTCATAATATGAAAATTAGGATACAAAATGAAACCAACCCCAAAGATAATCATAAAATTAGGATATACAATGTAAATTAGGGTGGTGAAGTTTATTTGCTTGAAAATCATAAGAGAATCAGAAAATAGACAAAGATGCCACTAGCAATATAAAGGAAAATTTTGAGCCAAACCTATCAAGCAGCCTTTGATGGTCTGATATCTCTTCATCAACTGATGGTATTTCTCCATTAGTTTTAGGTACATGCTGCACAATGCAAATCACAAAATTAGCAACGTCAATTCTGATCCAACTCAATGTTATAGGGTTAAAAGGTCAAGAAATCACATCCATAAGCACAAATACAATTTTTCCTGTTTAAATCACATCCATATGCGCAGGATAATGGCGAATCTTGAGACACTTCAAGCAGTGCCAACCTATTAAACTCTAAAGGTTGAAATTTATATGAAGAAAATATAACAAATGAATTAATTTCAAAATGTGATGAACACTAATCATTCCATTCCGAAAATAATTGTGTACCAAAAGGGTATACACCAACACAACCAATTTTCATAAACCATAACAATCATTACAAAATCTTTTAACCAATTAGCAAATTTGTAATTGACATTAAGTTTAAATACATTGAGCCCTTCTTTTTTCAGAACATAGGGGGAGAAAAGAAACATATGGGCAAACCTTAGAGCCTCCATTGCTGAAGAATTCCTCTTATAACAGAAGCTATTACAAAATTATACACAAGAACTTAACAGCTATTCATATTTCCATAAAACAAAATATTAGAACAGGTATTCAAAGAGCAGCTTGTTGAAGATTGCAAATGATGCAGAACACTTGATTAGGCTACCATGATTAATTCATCAAATTTCACTCCTCAGTTAAGAGACCAAAAACACAAGAACTTCACCAAAATTATAATAATGATATAACCAACGAAACATTGAAAACAAATAATGTGGCAAGTGATATTTCCACTGCATTGCACAGGAACTTCAGTAAAATTTAATAACAAAATCCTTCGAATCCCGATTAATAATGCAACTTTCCAAGAATTATACTTACAGGAATAGCAACCATTTCATTCAACCTCTTCTCTACTTCACCATCAAGAAGAGATGACTGATCAATTATATCCATACGCAACATGTCTTCACCAAGAGAAACTTTTTCTCCCGTGCCAGAGTCACTGCCTTGTTCATATCTACTAATGATATTATCATCAAAATCCCTCTTCTCATGTTTAACTTCATTTGTGACTCTTTCAGTTTGGTTACGATCTTCTATGATTTTCCTATCATCTTCATGATCTATACACAATAGGCAATGTTATTACATTAATAAAAGTCTATACAATCATTGAGTCAGAAAGGCAACTTCAGAAGTTCCCACTACCAGAACTATGTTGTCTTCCTGGAAGGCCAAACCAATCTTGGGTAGAATTGTTGAATCCAGATGCCTCTGCAGCGGCAACTAGTGAGAGTTCCTCTTGAAGGGCACGTGCAATAACCGCATCATTCTCTACATTTACATGTTCTGGTTCAGAGTAACCCTCTCTAATATACACTGTTTGACTATCGTCTTTGTCATACTGGGTAACACTACCACTGGAACTATAATGGTTAAATACACAAACTTGTAGATCTTGGAGACCCCATCGAACAACATCATGATCTATATCACATGTAATCATTGGCAAAATTTATAATAGAATGCCGTCCACCTTTCTAGCTTAATTTGAATACTCCCCAAAAGATATTCTGAGGACAAGAACATAAAAGTAAATCAATCATAACTAGCACATAATAGTATAAACTATCCCAGAACAGGAAAATATTCATACAAAATGCAAAAAGAAACTGACAGAAATTTCTTAACATAGATTCAAGAAGCAAAAACCTAAACCCAGAAAAATAAAAAGAGAAAACAATCATTGAGTGCAAGAACATAAAACCTATACAAATAAACTCACAAAAACCCCAATTCCAAACTCCAAGTTCTTAAAAAGAATGTTCATGATTTGCCTGATATAACAATTTTAACCATAATTATCACAAAAAAAGTCTACAACATGCATGATAACTAATATAATTGTTTTGAAGCTATAATTAAGTAACAATTATTATATCTAGTAAAACATTTCTTAATGTTACCTTACCTAGTGCATCTTTGGAAATTAATGTATACAATGAATTTTAATCACAACATTTAATTGTTTTTACCATGCCTTCATATTCCACTATATTTTAATCTTATCCAACTGCACCTCGTGATAAGTTACATTTTTAACAACTTTGAATGATTTTAAGTCGAGATTTATGTCTCATTTTCAATAATATTACATAATTGAGATATAATTTAATTAAATTAATAACTAAATCTATTTTATGCATAAGAGATTTTGGATTCAGATCCCTTCGATTTTACACAATCTCTTTAACTTTTTCCCCTCACATCTTTATCTTAAACTACAAGTTTTAAAACCAACATGAGCAAACCAATTCCATCCTGTTAACGTGATGTTATCTCACTTCTAATATATATATAGTCTCCTATAGTCTTATATTCAAGTTGAGCCCCGCTACTTCCTGTCAATTAAAACTGCCAATTGGTTTTAAGTTGATGCTTAACACATCCAATTTTACTGATATCATTCTCAATTTTATTTTATTTTTTAGATTATTGAATTAAATTTCATTAATTTTGCCCACATGTCGGCAACATATAACAGGCTTCAAAGGTTTTTTAATTTTTTTTTTCTAATTCCAACAAAAATTCGTTTAATTTTATGGGTTTCTATGGAATTTTACGCAAAATTTTCAATATCGAAAAAATTTTCAGGTATAGAATAAAAATTGAACAATCTACGAACAAAAAAAATCCAGAAAAACAGAGACTTTAAATAAAAAGGAAATACAATTATACATCCAAAAACAAACAAATAAATAAATAAATAAGCAAAAACTCACCTGAAATAAAAGACGGTAGCGAGCAAAGAATGGGAGAGAGAGAGAGAGAGAGAGAGAGAGAGAGAGAGAGAGAGAGAAAAGAATAACAGAAGAAAACGTAAGGCTGGAGGAGATACCGAAGTCAGAGACCTTTAGAATTTTGTCGATTAAAAAAGTTCAAAAAAAACCGCCATAAGAGTCCCTTGAAAACCTAATATACCTAACATCTGTCCAATATTTGGTAAATTATAACATCAAATCCACCTAATCTTTTGACAAATGCCTAATATCCCCCAAAGAACATGTGAACAAGCTCTAAATACATTAATCTAATTGCTTCTCCTAATTATTTTTAGAGTTGAGATTTAACGTTTTTAAGTTTTGTTTTATAAGAAGGTTGGAAAAAAATAAAGAATGAAAATTTTGCTAATTTAATTATTAAAATTAATAATCACTTTTTTATTTAATAAATTAATTATTAAATTAACAATTTTTTCATTTTTTATTATTCCTATAAAGTAAAGTCTTAAGATTTAAATGTTTGTATTTCTAATATAAAATTTAAATCCCACACTTATATTTTAGCCAATTATAGACACTTTTTTTCAGAAAATATTTCAATGGTTCAAATTTGATACTTTAATTTGAAGTTCTTGATTCAATATTTGAGATAAAAGATTTTTTTTTTTTTAATATTTCAACCATTAAAACTTGAAATTTTAATAATAATTACAAAAAACATTTTCGATTTTTCTAAAGATTCAAAATTGAGATGAGAAGCTATAATTTATAAGACTTTTAGTTCATGTATTTGGGGTTTTTTTACTCTAAAATAAGTTTTTTCTATAAAAAATATTATTTTAAAAATAAAAAAATTATAAATATTAAAATTTGAATATTAAATTTATTAAATATTATTTTTCAAACATAATAATATAAATCAATAAAATTAAACTCGACGAAAAAATTTTGAATTCGAATTTTATCAATAATTATTTATTAAAATCATTTTAAATACATGATTTATAATCATTTATTTGAAATCATGAGATACGATATCATAACCTATAAAATTAAGCAACTTATTTATTTTTATTTTTTTTATAAAAAAAATAAATAAACTCTCAATTTTATTTTATTTAATATCTAGACGAGAATTGACTTATCCACGAATTCAAGTTTGATATAAAATGCTAGTAACAGATAAAAACATTAGAATGTGTCACGTCAATGAATTAATACTCGATCTTTACCAAATGATCCCACGGAAGAAACTTGTCAATGAAGGGACTTCAGTATGACGGTTTGAAAAAGAAAATTCCCCGATGCATGCTTTAGATATTTTTAGCTTCGGCGGCCATGGTATGCAAATCTACACGTCGACCCTTACAGGGTTTGACACCAAAACCTGATAGTTGAAATAACTTTTCAATTACTCAATTTCTCATTTACAAGAAACGCCAGATGGCCGGATAATGAACATGATTTGGCAGTTTCGAGTTGACTTCTGCTAACATTTCAGAATCCCTGTAAACCCAAATTATAGCAGCATCATGCTACTATGTCTGCAATGTAGCATCTCAGGTTTAGACAACAAAAATGGCATCATATTTCAGCCTCCAAATTATTGTTTTTTAGCTATTCACTGTCGGCCAATTCACTTTTGAAGAACAGACTAGTTTCCCCACAACTGTTTCATGGGATGCTCCAACAAACCGACATTCACAGGCAGTTAATGATCAGAATAGTTCAACTAGTCCTACTGAATATCGAATTCTAATCTTCAGTGGAGTTTCCTCCTTCAGCTGACTGCTTTTCTTGTTCTTGTTCTTGTTGCTTTTCAAGGCATGACAAACGGACACCAATTAAACAGATGTTCACATGAAACACAATTAATTGACAGTTTTGGAGTACAGTTATTTACATTAGTAAAGAAACTGAGTCATGAACTCCAGCAGCGATTAAAGACATAGTAAATATCACAACAGAAGACTAATGGATCCTTTTCTATATACAAATTTGTTAACAATTCGTTCTTAAACAAGAAAACTAAAATCTCACACTTGGGATCCATGGGAAAAGGGGGAAATAAAGAGAAAACCAAGGAAAAATGTTATCGTCTCCATTGTTTAACCAGAATGTCATAACAGCTACAATCTCTCAATAATTACAGTAATCAGCTACTCCATATTGAACAAACTTATAAGCTGCATTGCATATTTCCTTTGGAATTAAATGTTCTGGAGCTGACTAAAATATTTAACACTATGCATAAATTTAGAGAAGTACCTCCATGATGAAGACACTGCTCAAATGCAGCAACAGGTCCAATGCTTGCCACTTTTAAGTGCTATTGTTAATTCGAGAGTCTAAGACAGATCCCATGCCATTAAAAGGCTAGTAAATAAGCATTAAGCTCTAATCACTCTTCAGGAGAAGCTCTTGCCTAGGCTCCTCCTGTTAGCCTGCAATTGTATAGGCCTAACTTAAAATTATGGAAACGTAACTCACAAAGGAATCTCTGTTCTGTCATCTGAATCTGAATCCAAATCCAAATCTGAATTCCAATCCTTCTCCAACATTTCTCGCTTAACAAACCTATTATTACTCCTTCTATTCTTCAAAAGCCTATCGGATTCTTTTAACAACCGTATGTATTTCTTCCTCACTCCCAACAATGGATGCCTCTCTATACTAGACTTACCACAATATGGCTCCTTAAGAATTGCAGTACAAGTCTTGTTCTTAAAAGATAAGTAAAACATATGAGGATGCCTTTCAAATGCTCTATGGACTTTCTGTGGTAATCTAAAATATTTCTTAAGACACAAAAGCTTCCTCCTTTGTGCTGAGTGTTCAACAAACAAGCTCAACAACTCATGAAGAATCCCCACAACTCTCTTCTCAGCTACATCGCTATTAGGATCCAAATGTGAAAAATCCTCATAAGGTGAAACATAAGGAAGTTTTTGAAACTCATTTAACCAACTTTCAATCTTCCTCCTTAACCTTAAACCCTTTGATGGGAAAATTGGAAACTCAATTCCTTCCAATGTCCCACCAAAATAAACCCCATTTTCCATTGCATTTCTTTGCATTGTAGACAATACTTTTTCTCCCTTACTCTCAACAGTCAATCCTTTTAACCCATCATCCATGCCCACAAACCTAAAAGACTCATCAAGATTCCCTTTCGAATCCTCCAAAAACCTTTCAGGTAACCCCAAATACCATTCCATTCCTTTAATAATCTTCAAAGGCAAAACTTTGTCTTTGCTCATCAAAATAAACCTTTTCAACCTATCTTTCAAATCCTTCTTGTATTCCTCAGATACCGTTTTCTCCTCTCTATCAATCTCAGCAGCTTCTGGGGTCAACCTAAACCAAGGCAAATTGTATTCAGGACCTCTAAACTCCTCAAAAACTGAAGGGTATTGCCTTAGGAACCTAGCAACCTTAATGGAAATATCAAATTCCAAGCCTCTTTTTGATACAGCAGAAATTGGGATACAACCATTGGGGTCATTAGCAATGAAGTTTTTGAGTTGAATAACTGGTTTAAGCTCTAGGGATTTATGGATGTGCACTATTGAGTCAAAGAATGGATCTTTCTTCCATTTCATGTACACATTCACATAGTTGTGAATTTGGGTGTGTCTAAAAGATGGTTTTTGGTGATTAAAAAGGGAAAAAATTGAAAATTTGGAGGTAAAGATTAATTTTTTGACGTGGGTTTTTGAGTTTGAGTTGTATAGAAACATGGGTTTTGGTTTGTTGGGGGGGTTTATTTTTCAAGTTCTTACCAAGTTAGCAAGTCATTTTGTTGTCGGCAAACGCGGAAGGAATAAACAGAGATAGCCGATGAGAAATAGAGAACAGTCTGCCTCAACAGTGGTGTAAACGATCCGAGCTGAGCTATCTTCGTGAGACCTTGGCCGGAGTAGCTGCTGCAATATAGCTTGGACTGCTGGAGCCACCGCCAGTTATGTGGTTGCCGTTCTTAAGCTAAGTCCTGGCCAGATAACTTGGCTGCTGCAGCCACCGCCAGTAATGGGGTTCCGAAAGTGAGAAGAGCAGAACAGGGGCAAAAATGAAAAGAGAGATGAGAAAGAGAGTTTTCTTTTTCGTTTTCTTTTTTTTGGGCCACAAACAAATATTAAGGTTAAAAATAATTAAAACAAAATATATGTTTTATTTACTTATAAAACTGAAATCTTCATATAAAAATTAAAAAAAAAAAGAAGCGAGTTGGTAAAAAATTATTATTATTTTGGCAAAATTTTATATAATTTTATTTTTTTAATTAAAAATTTAAAAGTTGTAAAAGAGGTCTTAATTTTTCATAAAAAAACTCAATTAATTAAAAACAAGTATATAAACAAATAATAAACATGCTTTTTTCTTGACATAAATTGAATTTCAAATCAGCTTATTCATTAAATGAGTTCCAAAATTTATACTGTGAGAAGTATTGCAAATAAGCAAAATGAGATGCATTGGGAGAAAGTAGAGGTAAAGATCGGAGAAAATCTTACAGTGTTAAGTGCATCGGTGAGTAGTGGTCGTCGATAAAACAAGGTTGAGCAGAAAAGAAAATAAAGTTTAAAAAGAAATTTAGGAAAAGAGAATTGTAGAAAGATTTTGAGAAAAAATTGTGATAAATTTGTCAAAATTCAAAAGGCTTTCAATGAATTGTGGAAATTCAAGTTTTAAGAATAAGATTTTCATATCTTAATTATTAAATAAAAATTTGATTCGAATAAATTATAAGTATACACGTCATATAAATAATAATAGTGATTTTTTTATCAATATATCATCTCACAAATATTAGGTTAAGAAATTTTTATATTAAATATCTATTATCCTCGTATTCTTCTAAAATTGATTCGAGTAAACAAAAGAAAAACATTACATCATACTAACCAAAAAAATAAAATCAACCAAAGTATGTAATACAAGTATGGTATGATGTAAAATTGTAACTTGTAAACTAACCTAAATAAAATGCAAAATCAATAGTTAAAATTAGTTATTTTGGTTGATCTTACTTAGCTACTGTTTTGTTAAATTTTTTTTTACTTGCCATTTTTAACTTTTAGATTAGATTGTCTTGAGTATTGAACGAGAATAATGATAAAAGATGTTAATATATTATTTAATAAAAGTTTAATTAATTTTTGGAGATAAGTATAATAAATATAAATGTTTACTATTTTATTTTTTAAAAAAAATACTCATATTTCTTAGAAAGGTTAAAAAGAGACTTTTTAATTATCTCATATATGATCTATCAAATTAAGCTCTTCAAAACATTTCAATAAAGAAATTAATCTATAAATCTTGTCATATTCTTAAGTTATTTCACTTTTTTAGGTGAAGTAATATTCAATGAAACGTTTTTTGTATAATAACTTTTAATGAAGCAACTTTTGATGAAAATTTTTTAATAAAATTTTTAATATTGTTCCTTGAGTAAGTTGTTTTGAGAATAGTTATTTCATATAAATATTGTTTGCGTAAAAAAATTATTTCTTGAATAATTATTCCATAAACAATTATTCCATAAAAGAGTTATTCTATGAATAATTGTTTTATAAAATAACATTCATAGAAACAATTTAATCACTTATTTTGACTTATTCTTAATTTTAATAATTTAAAAAAAATAAAAATAAATTATTAATAATCAAAATCAAGTATGTAACACTTTAACATGTATCTAGAATTTGGGGAGGGCAGTGATTTTTGGTTGTTTTTCTTGTCTCACAGTTAGTCTTATAAGGTTTTTACCATCATTCTCTAGACCTACCTAACAATTCTTAGTATATGTCATGTTTATTTTATATTACACATATCTAACACAATGCTATAATTCATAACAATATATCAAACAAAAAACATAATTTTTTGTATTTATCCAAATCCACATACAATTTTTTCACTTTAGATTTTTTTATATTGTTTTCATCTCGTATATAAATTTATAGTATCTAATTTTGTCCCACAAATTTTCCTGCTTTGTCTTGAAAGGAAAAAGAAAACTATAAATATACTGGCCATGTCAATAATAACAGTGATATTTTGATCAAAATATCGTTCCACAAAGATTAGTTAAAAAAATTTTTAATTAAATATTTATTATCTTCGTATCTTTATAAAATTGGTTCGAGTAAACAAAAAAAAAAAACGTTGCATTAAACTAACTAAAACAAATAAAATCAAACAAAGTATGTAACATAGATATAGTATGATGTGAAATTGTAACATGTAACCTAAGTAAAATAAAATGTAAAAGCAATAGTTAAAATTAGTTATTTCAGTTGATCTTACTTATCTACTGTTTTGTTAAATTTTCTTGTACTTGTCATTTTTAACGTTTAGATTAAATTATCTTAAGTATTGAATGAGAATAATGATGAAGCTAACAATTATAAAAAGTGTTAATATATTATTTAATGAGAGTTTAATTAGTTTTTGGAGATAAGTATAATAAATATAAAAGTTTATTATTTATTTAAAAAAAAATGCTCATACTTCATAAAAATATTAAAAGGAGATGTCTTAACTATCTCATATTTGATTTATCAAGTTAAACTCTTTAGAACATTTCAATAGTAAAATTAATTCACAAATCATGTCATATTTCGAAGTTATTATTATTTTTTTCGATGAAGTAACACTCGATAAAACATTTTTTATGTAATAACTTAGTGAAACAACTTTTGGTGAAAAAATTTTCAGTAAAAATGTTAATGTTTTTCATTGAGTAAGTTGTTCCAAGAACAACTGTTCTTTGAAAGTGTTATTTCATGAAATTATTTTTTAAATAGTTGTTTCAAAACATTTGTACTATGAAAGAGTCATTTGTGAATAACTACTTCACAAAATATCCTTCACAAAACACTTTTATCACCTATTTTGATTTATCTTCAATTTTAACAATTTAAAAAAATAAAATATTAATAATCAAAATCAAGTATGTACACCTATAACATGTATCTAGAATTTGGGGAGCTAAGTTATTTTTGGTTGGTTTTCTTGTTTCACAATTAATCTTATAAGTTTTTTACCATCAGACTAACCTAACAATTCTTAGCATATGTCATGTTTATTTTATATTAAGCATATGTAACACACACAAATTATTATATTACAATTCATATCGATACATCAAATAATAATTTTTTTTATTTATCTAAATCCACACAAATTTTTTTCGCTTTCCATTTTTTTATATTGTTTTCATATCATATATAAAATTATCGTATCTAATTTTCTCCCACAAATTTCCTGCTTTGTTTTGAAAGGAAAAAGAAAACAAATCTTTCATGGCACACATTAGAGTTTTTAACTCCCGAGGACCGCAAATCTACATTCTAGTGCTGACTGGGGTGGCCCCCTGATACATGAAATAAGCTGTTAAATTTACTAACACTAGATAAAGCAGAGACAGATTTTGGCAATTGTAGTAATTAAAAACTAACTCAAACACCAATTAATGGTTCACTTCTGCTAACATTTCAGTATTATGATGAACACGAATCATGCAACATCTAGGGTATAGACAACGTAATCATACACATTTTAGTCTCAAATGATTTAAGCTTTTTCCTGTTGCCAATTCACTATTAAATAACATATTGTACCCCCACAACTGTTTCATTCGTATGCTTCGACAGACCACCATTCTTTAGTTAATGATCTGAGTGGTTCAACAAGTCTTTGACTTTGATATCTAATTCTAATCTTCAATGCCATTTCCTCCATCCGACTGTTTTTCTTGTTCTTGTTGCTCTGCAAGGCACAAAAAATTGGCACCAATTAAACAGATTTCCACATCTAGAGAGCTCCTGATCAATCATTCACATCACTAGAGATACATTGGCATTTAGAGCATCCGTTACAGAGAGTAAATATTACATGTAAAAATTAATAAACCTCTGGGAAGGCAAAAACACCAACTCTCATAGGTTTTTTTATTGGCATGGAAACTCTTCTCTCTCTCTCTCTCTCTCTCTCTCTCTCTCTCCATATATATATATATATATATATATATATGAACCTTTAGACACTTAATAAACTTGGACACGCTGCATACATGTTCACATCATACAATGTTTCGACAATGACTTAAAGTCATTGATACTTAAAAGTTAAAACATGGTTATGTTACATAAGTTATTATAACATAAAACATATGCAGAGAGAAAGGAACTTCCAGTTGAAGCCAAACATTATGATAAATAACCGGTCCCAGCAAGAGGAAGATGACATGCAAACACAACATTAATTGTTTACCTCAGGCTTAAAATTAGTTACCACCATGTCCAATACTTAATACTTGCATAATTCAACATGTAAAAGTGATAATCATTGCATCATCGGTAAGGATCCAGGATTATAACAAAGCACATACAGATCCTTTAAAACAATGTTAGGGATTGCTTCCACAGGTAAGTTTCATTCACAAAATAATCAACAGCTTCTATTGGGAGATCTGCAAGCTACTATAAAGCAACTAAATTTACTGTCTATCTTATTAAAGTGCAGCCATTAACTTCTAGATCCTTTTCTCCCTGCTTTATGTATGTGTTATCTTTTTTTTTTTTGGGTGGGAGGGGGGGTTGATTATGACATTCTGCTGCACCCATCCCTTCCTTGCTCTTCAACTTATTGTAAGCTGCTTCTTTGCAATTCAGATAAAGCCCTAATAACCAGATAAGCTACATTTTTAGTTTTTATAATCCTATCCGAGTAGGATTATCTAGGTATTTTGACAAAAATCTAGTTCAGATTCAGTAATTTTTGTTGCTAACCTTTTGTCAGCTAATATACTTCAAATCTGATCAAACATGACTTTTCCAGTTCTATAGTTAATAAAAATTGTATGCCAATATGCACTGAGGTTACCTCTTTAAAGCAGATTGGGAACCTGAAACTAAATTTTATGGCTAAAATCTAAGCTTCCCATGAAAAATTGAAAGTTAATCTAAGTCATCAGCATATGTAAAACAAATACGTTGACACAATATTACTTACCCATAAGTTTGTATATTGCCTTCTGTGTGCGCCTTTCAAGCTTATCAAGCTTCTTCTGCACATCCCTTCGGAGATCCCAGTTTGGTTTCTTAGGAGCAATGTTAACAAATGGATCCTACACCAATTATTCCACAATTAGAATAACAGAAAGAAAAACTGTTTCACTTAAGCATGATATTGAGGATAAACAAACACCTCTTTGTCTTCTGATGGTGGAGGTGCTGCTGCAACAGGGTCTTCAAACTTTGGCAGCAGCGGGGGAGCAACTTTACCCTCCTGAAGCTGTTTGTCATGAGGTACATAATTTCGAAACTTCATGCTGGGATTACTGTGGAACAGAAAGACAAGGTAGGAAAGTATACATGTTAATGAATTGTCCATGAAAGGGCTGCAAGCAGACATTCATCCAATCATACATTATGTATTTGCAATTCATTTTCAAACTAGTAAACTAAAAAAATATCCCCATTTTCTTTGGATCCAGGGGAAAAGATGAAAAAGACAGAAAATCAAGGAGGAATCGCGCTCTACTTTATTTGGAAGATTTCTATGAAGAGGAATGGATAACAAGGGTTACATTTATTCCATAGAAACCCTCCAAACCCCAATTCGTTCAATTTCCCCAAAATTGAAAGTATTGGAGAGAAAGGACCATTACACTTATCCTTTCTTTCCCCTTTCACACTGAAGATAGTGCATGGTAAAAAATATGGAAAGGTGAAAGGATAGAAAGTTTTTAAATCTAAAGTTGAGTTGTAGAACATTCTTCACAGTAGAACTAACAAATTTTCTATGCCTCAACCTTCCCATCCTTCCTACCATGCAAGCCTTAGAAAAGGATATAGTTGTAAAGGACGTAACAAGTTATAGGTCCTCCATTCCCTTCCCACTCCTTACTGAACAAGGGCTATTAGAAAAGGATATAGTTGTAAAGGACACAACAAGTTATAGGTCCTCCATTCCCTTCCCACTCCTTACCGAACAAGGGCTATAACACATCCTTTCTTTACCTTCCCTTCTTTTTCAGATAATCCAAATAAGGCAAACCTTGGCTTCTCTTTTCCGCTCTTCCCCACTCTTATTCCTCTACCTGTACCTCTCCTTATAGTTCCCAAGTTTAGTATTATGATTTATTTTAGCCAAAAGGGCAACCAAAACAAGCGAGCAAAAACTTCTAATGGCAATCCTTTTCTAACAGCAGTTAGATTTCTCTTAAATTTAAGAAAGTAATCCTCCATAAATTTTAACTACATATGCACGCTGTCCACTTCCCATAATCTAAAACATCCAAATTTCAAGAGAAAAAGAAAACCTCATGATGAACCAATTGCCATTCTTGAATGAATATTATTTTTTCGCTAAAGAAAACAAAATATTGGAATGGAAATTGACATGGAGAGTTCATGCTGAAAATTCTGTGGAACAAAAAAGGCAAGCAAAGAAATTATACATGCTAATGATTGAAATTTTTAGTGCAAGGAAGCAAATTGACATCAATCTAAATATACATTATCTCAGTATCTTTATGATTTATTTTGGAATAACTAAACTAGAAAATTCCTGTGATTTGTTTGGATCTAGGGGAAGGTTCAAAAGGGAAGAGTAGCTGGAATAAAAGTGCTCCTCCTTGTTCCAAGAATTTTAAGGAAGAGAAAGGTTAACAAGAGTTACCCATCCCATCAATACCCTACAATCCTACCTTTGTTCAATTTCCACAAATTGAGATGATTTTGGAGGGAGAGTATCATTACCTTCATCCTTTATCCTCTTTTCTACTGTTTTTTTGCCAAATATCCTCCTTTCTACTTTTAAAATTGTGCTTGGTTGCAAACGATGGAAAAGTGGAAGGATAGAAAACTTTTCAATCCAAAAGGGTGAGTTACAAAACCTCATTCCTATAACATACCATAGTCATTGAATTGAAAATTTTCCTCCTACCAGCTTCCCATCTTTCCTAACAAGCTAAGCCTCCTTCCACCCCATAACTAAATAAATTCTTTAGGACATCCTTTCCTTCCTTCCCTTCCCTTCTCTTCCCTTCCTCTTTTTCCAAATTATACAAACAAAGTAAACCCTAGCCTCTCATTGCCCCTCTAGTTCTCAAAAGGACACCCTAAACCAGCAAGCAGCTAACAGCTATGGAAAATATTTTCAGGAGCTTTCACCTACACTTCTTTTTAATATAATCCTGCAATTGTCCAATCACAATAAATAATTATGTAGGGATCCACCACTTATAAGTGTGGGCTCCATATAAAATTTTGATGGATCCGACACAATTCTAAATTGTGATTGGTTAATTGTAGTACAATGATTGTAAGAGATATGCTCCCATTATTTTCACACTAAATCCTATTTGGTGGTTTAAGCAAATCAAGCTGACTTGCAAGCTACAAGGGCTCAATTTAGAGAATACTTGACATCAACTTGTTCTTTGTCTGGTTGAGCTCAAGCTCAAGCACACGGTGGTGCCAAATTCCAGTGTCTTAATAGTTAGCACTTGAATCGAGACACTCACAGCTTCACAAACCTAATCCACCATTATATTTGTTAAAATTATAAATATATTTGATTGAATACTCCATAATATATATAAACAAAATAACAATCCAACATAATCAAGCCTAATAAAATCGAACTCGAGCCAACCTTTGAGGCTCGAGTTTCTAGCATACTGTTTCCACTCAGCTCGAGTCGTTTGAGCCCTAAGTACATCAGCAAACTTCAACTAGAATTCATACTATTCCTATACCCATAGTTTGAAACAGCCATATCTTAACAAGATACAAACCCAAACCCAATTATTAAAACTTAATGCATATTAAAATTATGCTAAAAAAATTCTGGGTTGGAAATTAAACAAAATATTTAAGCTTTTGAACTTACTTTTCTTCATTAGTTTCATCTGTTTGGTTCTCAGCAGCTTGAGCAGAATCTTCCTCTGGGGCGTTCAGTAGTTCCTGAGCTGCTTTAAGAGCTCTAAGCCTCTCTCGACGTGACGCAGCGGCTTGTTCTATTGATTCCTCCTGGGTAGCCATGAAAGAGAGCTCCCTGGTTTTACCGTTTATTGTTTTAAGAGCAATAAAAAGGACTCGGCTTTTGATTTGAATTCGGATTTCTTCCTTTTACATAGTACTACAAGATTTTAACGTGTAAGTGAAGTGAGTAGCGCTTTATTGGGCTTTTAAACAAGTTCAAGCAGAGAACTGTAATTGGGCCAACTAGTTTCTCCAACTTTCCAGAAAGCACTTCACTGTGTAATTGAAAATCATATTATATGTTTAAATTTTTAAACTTACATTTGATGTATGGTAAATATATACATTTTATGTTAAATCTCTAAAATTAAAAAAATATTTATAGTGAGAAGTTGATGACAATGATTTTGTAAAGTTTTTTAATAGACAAGAAATATTTATGAATCATGTGAGCTAGTTCTAAGTTAATTCAATTGGATTTTCATTCGTTTAGAAGGGTCTTATAGATAATGTCAATTAGCTCTAATTTACTCCCATTTGCCCAGTGAAGTTTTAACGGTGGCATCCAATTTCTTGGAAAACCACACACAAAGCTTGTTACTTCCTTTTCTTAAATATCATTGTAATCATTATTATTAAATCATTTATTTTTCGTCTTAAGTCATGTAATCTTAAAAATTTAATTTGATTGATTTATATAATTATTTTAAAAAACGATATATTGTTTGGTCCGAAATTCAAATATCAATACTTCTAATTTCTTTTTCTATTTCTTTTTCTATCTTCAGGGTACAACATACTTTGTAAAAAAAATAATTAATCCACCACCTTTAGTGTTTTAACAACTTTAAGAAATCATTAGTAATGTCTTTCAATTAGCATTTTTATTTAACTAATTATCGATCTAAATCAAGGCAGAGAGTCCAGCAAATACTGTTTTCAAGCAATTAAGCTTTCATCACAACATACATGAAGGCAAGCCTCCACTCTATCAAGCTTTTAAGCTTTGAGAAAAGTATGAGCTCAAATTAGGTAGTTTCAAAACTTCCTAAACAAAGCAGAGCCTGTACATAATACATGCAGATGCAGTTGGCTATCTCAAAGAAATCTTTACAATTGTTTTTGGAAGAGTAATTTACAGAATTCAACCAAGTTCAACTGTAGTTGCTTAATAAGTCCTAACGATCTTTGGTCTCCATGTTCGCCAAACCAAACACCCTTTGTCCCCAGTTATCAGATCAACAAACCTTCTTTTCAAGCGCTCTCTTTTTGATAATTCAGAAACATCTTTTGGAGTTGAACTCTTCATAGGGAGTTGGGGACTTACCATATCAGTTGCTTCCACAATTCGGTTCACCATTTCTAGGACTTCACTCATTTTGGGGCGTTGTTTGGCCTGCCGTGCCAAGCATTTGTTGGCTACAGCTGCAAGTTTATGAGCAGACTTGAGGGAGTACTTCCCTTCGAGCCTAGGGTCCAAAATCAACCTGAACTTCTTTATATCAGAGATGTGTGGCCTGACCCATTCCAAGAGTTTTTCTTCACCCTTGGGGCGATTCCGATCCAAAGGACGCCTACCTGTTATGAGTTCATAAAGGAAAACTCCATAGCTCCACACATCACTTTTAGCTGTGAGGCGCCCGGTTTGAATGTATTCAGGGGCTGCATATCCAATGGTTCCTACAACCTGCTCAGAAAGTGGACAAATTGGTGCCTCTATTTCTATAAAAATAAGCATGCTTATGAAAATTTTGCCCAAAGTGGATAATCTTTGCATGCCTAAACAAAAGACCTAAGTGCTGCAGTTTGCATATAGCAACTTCAAACGTACCGCGGTTGAGACATGGCTTAATCCATCTAAAGGCCCTAGTCTGGCCAACCCAAAGTCTGACAGCTTTGCATTCCAATGCTCATCCAAAAGTATATTTGAGGACTTGAAATCTCTGAAGATAATCTGTTGCAATAGAAAAACAGAAGTTTTCGAGCAATAAAAAGATAAATCATTCATGAAATGGGGTAAAATAGTTTTTTTTTTTTTTAAATAACCAAAAGGGTTTCGCTTGCATATAGATGCTTCAGAATTATCAATTCATCATGTTCTTAGTGTTTCAATTTCTGAAAAGCCCAACTCTTTTAGTTGTATCTCAATTCCTTTAGTGAAATCTTTATACTAATTTTGCACCTTTTTTCCTATTCTTTTTTGCATTTTGTTTTTCACCTCATCTCCGTATATTTTTGATACATAGGAGGCCGGCGCATTCTGAGAATAAAGGAAAAGGTTACAGATACTGTAATTAGATTTTTTAGATATCACCTCATAAGGATGACTGTATGAACCACTAAGCTAAGCTCTGGGTTCCACCTTATCTTTATATATGCCAAATGAAGAATCCTGTATCAAATTTCAATCATATCTGGTAAGAAGTGAAAGGTACCTGAAAATCCATTCCTTCATGCAGGTATGCTAAGCCTCGAGCGGCATCCTGGGCAATTTTCATTCTGGTGGCCCAAGGAAGAGTCGTTTGAAACCGACTTGACAAGTGATCCTGCACACTTCTGTTGGGCATGTATTCATATGTCAGTAGCCTCTGTATTCCTCTTTCATCATCCTCAGCACAGTAACCCACTAATTTGACAAGATTTTGGTGTTCAACTACCCCTAGAACATTTACTTCTGTCACCCATTCTTTGTGCCCCTGTGAACAAAAAGTGGAAACAAATATTACACACTTTAAAAGGATTAATTGTGACAACCACATGTTACATACAAAGTCATAGGAGTCAAAATACATTGCAGTATATGGTAAACAGTTTGACACAGTCTAAGAAGAAGGGCATCAGTAGGGCTATACGGGTAGATGGAGGCCTTTAACTTGGTAAAATGATTTTAAAGAGTCAACCAATGAAGGTCTAAAGTATTTGATTTAATGGATATCCAAGATGATATGCAGAAGATGGAAGGAAGTGCTGAGGAGATGATTGTTAAGTTCCTATATAGGCATGTTCCTGGAAAATTTCATGCACATTGTTTATTTGACTAAAAGAAATTTCGAAGCCTTTTTTGTACCAACGGTTACAAAAGCAGAAAGCTCACCTGCAACCCTCTTCTGCTGAGCTGTTTAACAGCAATATCAATTTTCTTGTGGGAATCATCTGTGCTTCGGATTACACCCCTATACACACCACCAAATCCACCTTCTCCAATCATCAGGGAGCGGCTGAAATTCTTTGTTGCTGTCTTCAACTCCAAGAATGTGAACTCTCTGAGATTACTTTGTCTTTGAGACAAAGCAGCAAACGAGTTCTTGGTGGAGGATTCTGTGCTAAAATCTGAAACATTCTGAGAATTAAACTCAGACCCAGATCTCCTCATATCATGATCTACTGACATGGAAACAGATGTGGCGGACCGAACTGAAATAGACTTTGTAGTTTTTGGTTCATCATTCTTCTCTTTACCACAGAAACAAAAACACTTCATAACCCCGAAAGAAACAGACAACCTCACTGCATATTAACAATTACATTAGTATGGATCAACCAAAAATGATTTTGAGATGAAAATCCTGATGAAAACCAAGAGTATTGACAAGATATAACATGAAATAGTCAAAACCAATTTTTCTGGAACGATGCAGCCTTAAGAATTCTGTATATTCCTCAGAGAGGAACCAAATTCCAGTGCAAAAATTTCCCAAATACTCAAAAACTTTATCACACATAACATGAGAGAGAGGGGGAAGGCAGACTAGAATATAAGTCAATGAAATCATTTGATTTAACCATCAAGAAATCTTGAAAAGGATGGTAAACTCTCACATCAGCTACAAAGAAAATTCAACAACATATTGAATTGTGAATGACCAAAACAAAATTTCCGAACACTTTTTGACAGAAAAGAAACAATTTCAAGAAAGTACTGACCTTTTGCTTATTTTTTGTTTCAAACCCAAAAATTCAATAACAAAGTGCTAGAATTTAGAGGTTCTCATATTAAAGAGAAAGCCAAAAGGCAAACTGAGAGTATCAAAGGACAAAGCAACGAGCTCTCCATGATCTAAAGCAACAAGTCAATGCAAGGCAGCTGTATTGTAGCTCACCAACCAAGAACCCCATCAGACCAAAAAAAAAAAAAAGCTTTGAGTGAGTAAACGCCACCCTCAAAAAAAGTAATGAAAAACAAAAATGAAATTATTGTATAATGCAATGACTTGAAGAACAAAAAAAGTGAAAAAGTGTGAACAGGGAAAAGATTTGGTTGCACTTTCTTGAAAGGAAAGGACCTTGAAGGTGAAAAACTCACGGAGAATGAGACATTGTTATATAGCATATTAGCATATATGAATACAAAAAGAGTATATTATTTGTAGTATTTTTTTTTTTCAATATAAAGTTGGTTGGTGGTTGGAAGCCATTAACGTAGCTTACCACCATGGGCTTTAAATTGTTAATACAATAAATTCGAAGTGAAGACAAAAGCAAACCAAATCATAAGTCAAAATTTATGAAATTGCAGGAAAAAAAAAAGGCCGTTCTACCTTCTTGCTGTGTCGGCATAAGCTGTCGTGTCCAATCATTTTAGGATATGAGAAAAAGTCAATGGGTACTTCATTAGAATTGTTATCGTTGCTTTGAATTCCATAACATTATTTCATATCCATGTACCTGTTTACCCACTGGCCTTTAAGAGGTATGACAATGCAAGAATTATATATGTTTTACAATAATTATAAAATATAAAAATTATTATATTATAATTGTTATTGATATATTAAATATAATTTTTTAAATATTTATTAAATATATATAATTTTTATTAAAATTTTAAATTTATATAATTTATATATATTTTTATTTCACATTCATATGTATCATCTTATTATATATAAAATTAACAAGTCTATCTTTTAATATAATTTAGACAATAATATATGACAGTGTATTTCTATGGATGAATAAATTATAAAATTTTTCAAAATATAAATGTGTTAAGAATTATTAGGATTCTAACTCAATCTTATTTCAAACTTCCATAAATCCAAAATTCTCCTTGAAATTTAAGGTAAATTTATTTGAAAAAGTTAATCACGAGTTTACAAATAATCAAATAAAAAATAAATCAATTTATCTAATTGTAAGCGTAAATAATATAAATCCAAAATTTTTCTTGAAATTTAAGATGAGATTATTTAAAAGATTAATTACGTGGTCTACAAGTTACCAAATAAAAAACAAATCAATTTATCATTGTAAGCTTAGATAACATAAATCCAAAATTTTTCTTGAAATTGAAGATGAAATTATTTAAAAAAATTAATCACGCGATTTACAAAAGATCAAATAAAAAACAAATCAATTTACCTAATTATAAGCTTAGATAACATAAATCCAAACATTTTCTTGAAATTTAAGACAAAATTATTTAAAAAATTAATCATACAGTTTATAAATGACCTAAATTTGAATCAAATCGATTTCTTTCATTACAAGCTTAGAAAACATCAAATAATATAATAAATAAAGTAATTATATAGTTAATATTTTAGTCCTTGATTATAATAAAATGAACGAGTCAATTTGCAAAACTTGACTCTTAAGACATCTGTACCCCTTGTTTTTGTTGAACCAGACAATGCAAGACGATAGTATTAATGGAACAATACATTGTCATGAATCATTGCCTCTTAATTCACGATCACGACCCTCAATTAGTCTCATTAGGCTCACTTTGATGTTAACATATATAGGTAAATTTATTGCAGTTTTTTATTGAATTTTATCATTATATTTCAATATATTAAATTTTATTAATTTTTAATAAAAAAGAAATTATGAAAAATTGTCAATTGCATTTCCCATTCCATTGGAATTTCGATTCTATTATTTTGCCCAAAAAAAAATCAACGAAATTTAGAGTATAATAGAAAATTAATAAAATTGAGATACAATGACAAAATTTAATATTAAATTATAATATAATGATAAATTTGACCTTAATCAAACTTGTTTCTAAGCAATTAGGAAATGTGCCAGCCAATTCCTTGGTGGCAGAGGATTTTTTTTTTCAAGGCTTAATGAGGAAAAACATTTGTAATTCTTTAGATTATGACTTTTTAATATAAAAAAAAAAAAATTCAACTTTATTATTAGTTTTTGTCACATTCGTTGAAGAAAATTATTTTGCAAATTGAGTGACGAAAAAGACAAATATGCAAATAAAACGATGGAAATGAAGATATAATAGATGTTGAATCAGTCAAGTTGTTTAAAAAATCTACAAGCTTTTTTTTTTTTTAATATTTTAATTTTGTCTTCCATTTGTTTTAATTTCTTCATTACATAGATTTCCAATTCTAACAAAACAAAGAAATGAAAGTGAAAAAAAAAGTCATAAAAGTTGACATGAATTGTTTTAAATTAAGTTCTACCAATGATTGAAGGAGGTAATCACGGCTAAGTTCTACATATACTTCCATAATTATCTTATTACCAAAAAAAATGAGAAAAAAAAATGAGTTGAATAGAATGGGTTTATTAGATTATGCACCATACAAGATCATGAAAACTTTGGTTTTATAAATCATTATTAAATCCAAATATACTTTTATATTTTAGATTTATAGCTGAACAGTTCCTGATAACTATGAATTAAGTTCTCTCTTTTTCATAATAATTAGAAAAAGAAATGAAATGTGTGGAGTGTAAATTAGAGCTTTAATGGACCAGGCCATGGTTGGTTTGGCTGATTCAAGGGTCACAATACTTTCAAACCTTCAAGATTGGATGGCCTGGATTGGTCTCAAATCAGACATACAATAATTTACTTCTACTACTGCTAAAGCCTTCACATTCTGAAGTCATTCACACAGGAATAGGAATCTAATAATAATAACACACAAACATGTCCTTGCCGCTAAAGCCGGCGAACAAGCAAGAGGTCATTGAGACAGGGTCTTCTCTTACAAGGGTCCCACATTATCATTTCGGTTCAACTCTTTCCTTCTGGCTTTCTCAGTTCTCACCCTGCCTTTGGCATGAAAAAGGAAGGAAAGTAGAGATAAAAATGAAAGATTTTTTTCCCCTGAAATGTATAAAAGCTTGACCTTTAAAATTCACCACATGGTTCCTTAAGCAAACCCCAGATCTCTTTATATTTCCTCATTGACAATTTTCTTTAGCTCCAACATTCATTTTTATCTTTACTGAAAAGCGGAGTTCCATTTTTTTTTGTCCAAAGAACGAAATTGTCTCTTTGTTGGGTTTCTTTTCAAATGCTCAAAATGGGTTTAAAGAAGCTAAAAGTTTGCACTTTTTGGGCAGTTTCAATCTGGGTTTTTGTAGTTTTGAGTTTCTTGGTGAATATGGTACAATGTCAAGATTTGAATGATTATGGTCAAGCGGACAATTCTTCCTTTCTTCCCTTTATTACAGCACTTGTAAATAGCAGGCTTTCTAATCTTACTAAATTTCTTAGTAAGGATATTAGTGACAAGGCCAGTTTCTGCATAAAGGACCAGTGAGTTTTCCTGTTCTTTTTCTATGTTATACTTGTTCATTGTACATTTTATAAATAGAATTGATGAGGGAAAAAATGGGAAACATTGGAACTTGAATTTGTTTTATCATATATGTTTAACGTTGCTTTAGGTTCTTGCTTAATTGAAGAAGATTAGCTTGTATTAGTTGTATTAAGCTCATTTATTTTATACTTTGCTATGCCATGCCATTTCCATTTTTTTTTTTTTTTTGGTTTTTTATTCTATTCAGTTGCATGTTAGTTTCATTTACTTTTTAACAAAATTTTCTAGGGTGATACTTATTTCTTAGTTTTATGTATTTGTGCGTACAATTGAATTGGATCTTGTTAAAATTTGAAGCTGCCTCTATGTTTCAGGGATGCTGATTGGAATAAAGCATTTGATTTTTCATCAAATTTGGACTTCTTGGCTTCCTGTATTCAGAAAACTAAAGGTACTATATCCGTAATTAGCAAGAATGTAAGTACTTACTTTTTTGATAGCTAAGGAAATGCAGAAAGAGATGAGAACAAAATTTTGAAGCTTGACAGTGTTCTTCCAATACTATTTTGCCAAACATTGTAGTTAGCTTTACTTCTAAATTATGTTGCCTTAACATAAGTTATAGCTTTAAGTAGAGATTTCTTTCAAAAAACCAACCATAAACTTCGAACTGAGACTAGTTGGATTGAATGAGAATTAGATATGTTAAAAGTTTCTTTTATTCTGCTCTCTCTCATGTTAGTGTGGACTGTCGTGTTCATTGGTTCAACAGGAGATATTATGCGGCGCTTGTGCACAGCAGCAGAGGCAAAATTCTACTTTGATACTTTTTTTAAAAGTTCAAGTGCCACTACTTTGAGGCCTAACAAAAACTGTAATTTGACCTCATGGGTTTCTGGTTGTGAGCCAGGATGGGCTTGTAGTATTGGTCCAAACCAGCAGGTTGACCTTGAAAATTCTCTAGTCATTCCTGATAGGATCCATGATTGTCAGGCTTGTTGTGAGGGCTTTCTCTGCCCTCGTGGTCTTACGTGCATGATTCGTAAGTATCTGAGAATCTTTTAAATGATTTCATCCTAGATAGCTATTTTTATTTATTATTGAGAATCCTGCAAAACAAAGTACATTTTTCTGCGTAATGTTAGTAATCTCTAGTCTGCTCTCTAATTTTCATACTTCTAGATTTAAGTTTCTGTATTGCCTAGTATAGTAATGTAATATGCAACATTAATTACCAGTAATTCTCAGGTATCTTTTGTTAGCTTATGCCCTTGTCGCTTTTCATCTTTAAGTATCATTGATGCTTAATTAGCATTTTCTTAACATGTTATAAAAGATATTTCTTTTTGTTTTGCTCATGCTTCATTTGATGCTATCTTCCTAAAGCTTGCCCATTGGGTTCCCATTGTCCGGTTGCAACACTCAATAAGGCTACTGGCATATGTGAGCCGTAAGTTCATACTTTTCTAAACATTGCTTTAAAATTGAATGGCCTATGGTTATGAGAATGTTCACATTAAAAAACTATTGATATGGTTTTTCAGATATAGTTACCAGCTGCCTCCGGGACAGCCAAATCATACTTGTGGAGGAGCCAATATATGGGCTGATGTTCATAGCAGTAGCGAGGTTTTCTGTTCGGCGGGGTCATATTGTCCTACAACGACCCAGGAAAAGCCTTGCAGTAGTGGGTATTAGTTTTCTTCCTTACACTTTGTCACTTCTCCTAGAGCTCTGATGTTTTGCCAGTTTCATTGTTTGTATGTTTGTCGTATGCAAATATTTAATTATCTCGTTTGCGTTATGTCTATGTATAACTAAAACTTCTGTGGTTTCATATTCATTTTTGTTGATGCTATCACATTTTTGTTTGCCTTTGCAGACATTACTGCAGGATGGGTTCAACATCTGAGAAACGTAAGCCCTCTGCTCAGACTGTTTATTTTGCATATTACA